TGCGGATCTTGTCATAAAATTTATATTGGACAAACAGGTAGATCCTTCAAGAAACGCATTAACGAACATAAAAGAGAGTTTAAAAACCATAGTCTAGATTCTAATTATGCTATACACTTAAACAAAACACATTTTTGACGACACTTTTGATATTTTACATACAGCCACAAAAAGTAGAACCCTAAATTTATTCCAAGCCATGGAGATTAACAAAATGAGACATTGAAATGTATTAACGATCAATTAGATTACCTCTCCATTATCAAACTTAAATTCTCACAACAACATTAATTAAGGTTTTATTGTCATTTTTCGGTATATATAGTAGCAGGTAGTTTGTAAATTTTACATTTGGAAAAGACACAAATAAAAACATCCGGTGTTTTTGTCGCACATTTTGTCTCATCGTTTATTATTTGCCACAAGCAATTTGTTTTCGGAATTCAAAAAACATTGATCATTAAACAATTTTTTAGCTGCATCTATGTGCTTTTTTGTGAACTTTTTTTAATTGTTTATAATGAAGCCTTGCTTATGCGGGTTCAAGGTAGCAAATTTATTAAGTCTCACAGTCTCACATTCTGTTGAATAATATCCCTTGCCAGTCACGGCTTATCCTTAAAGGTATTCACTCTATATTTCAGTAAAGGAAATGAACAATTAAATGCCCTTAGAAAGAGTTCATGAAATGTATTAAATTTATTTGTCAAGGCTTTCCCCTTGGTTATAAACAGGTAACCAATCCATTTCGGATATTTGCATTTTAAACGGTTCAATGTTACTTTTTTTTCTAAATAGTCGTACATAAGTTTGCTAAGCTCTATCAATAATAACTGGTGTCAAAGTTCGTGAAAATATTGTCGATTGTTACTTTTATTTTATATCCTTGCTGGATCAAAAATGGTTTTATTTGATCTAAAGGTCATCAAAAGATTCTCAACTGTAAACGTTATTGTCACTAAAGTTCATGTGAAAGTCTCCACAAAAGAATGCTTTATAATTCCTCAAGATATTACATGAAAAAAAGTAATTGATAAAAATATTGAAATAACTGTTAGGTGATCGGTAAATTACGGTAACGCGATATATATATTTATTATGTTTATATATGTTATATTTATATATATTTTTTATATTTACTGTACTGAATTGTGGAATAAGGACTCGTTTTCTTAACCTATACACCTCGTATAACAATATAAAATAATAATCTTAATAAAACGAATAACAGGCATTATTTGCCGTTGTTGATAGGGTTATTAAATGAAGTATATAAAATTCCTGGAAGAACCCATTTAATTACAAAGTCCCAAACATAACATCGAAAAAGATATACTTTGGAAAAGGCGACAACATAAATTTTACGCTCCGCCGGGATGAACCTCTGAGATTATTACTGGCTATAACACTCGCTTTTAGAAACGAAATTTTGTCAAAGGATGATAGATACCTTCATTTTTTTTTTCGAAGAATCAAATTTATTCCCCGGGGTGATATGTTATTTATTGCAGTCCTTTGAGGTTATTGATAGTCGCGATACAAAGAAAAAAGCCTATTCCTTTTCTGCGTGCAGATATGCCGAAAGAACCTTTTAAATATATTCATGAGACATAAATACCAATTTCACCTCATTTGCACATAGCCGCGCTATTTCTAGCATCGCCCCATATTTTAAACGGAAATTATTTTTATGCGTACGTAATCGAAAACTAAACCATCAAAAATATTATGAAAAACAGAAACAAAAAGAAATCCTTTTTTTTTGCTGTAAATACACATGTAAAAGTCGCTACCAGGAAGAGTTATAGAAAGATATTTACAAGAAGGAATTTATCTACTTCAATAGAAATTTAGAGATAGTCATAACAAAATATACTTGGCACAATATATGGTACCATGAGAGGTATAACATCAATAAATTCGCTTAGAACAAGACACCTGGCGGACATATTAAAAAGCTGCATAGCTTTAAAGTTGATATAATTCCACTTTTTACTATTCCACCATTTACGAAAAGCATTTCAGCCTGATTTGATTGCTTTCCATATAAATTTATAAATTAACTGTCTTCTGAAAGTATTCAAAGTCAATATTTGGAAAAAAAACTGGCGTTTCTAAAATAATTATTATTTATTACAGTTTTTTGGACTTAATCAGTTTGTTTGTTGTAGTTGGTCTAATAATGCATTTTACAACAATTTAGTTAGTGACATGAAGACTAGAATTAAAGGTATATTTTATATCTTCAATTTTTCAAAGAAATTTCAACAGGCTGCTGTAATACTTTCTTCAGAGTTTGACTGAAACTGTTTCAGTCAAGCTCTGAAGAAGCTAAGAGGATGATTGGCGAAACGTTAGCTAGTTCGACTCAACAAGAGCAGACGCAGGAGGAATCCAGAAGTTTTATACAAAATATATTTTATATCTTATACGCTGTGTGATATTTCATTCTTTAATGATGATTAATGAATAAATTTTCTCAGGACTGAAAAGATCATAAATATATATAACACAACGAAGTTAATAACGGCTTCCAATACAACCCTGAAGATATTTTCAACTGAAAGACAGACTTGAATGATCCATGTCTAGAGTCCAAAAATTCAAAACCCTATGTTTTTTCTAATCACAAGATATTGAAACGAACACAAAACCGTTATATTGTATTGTATTTCTCAATGTAGATGAAAATAATATGATTAAATAACACTTAACCCCTTTCTAGTTATTACACCTAAGAACTCTTTTTGCAAAGAATGAATCGGTTGGGTAGAAATGTGAAAAGGTAACTTCATAGACTGTTAAAAAGTGAGCATCAATTTTTTTTTCAAGGTCAAGTCCAGGTAAAATTCAAGGATCGAAAGTCGCAATAATCCTTTCTCTAGTCACCCGACACAACGGATCTTCTTCGACATCTGACGTTTAAATCGGATCATTATAAGCAGAAATTTCACCAGAGGTGAATTAGCTTTACGACGAGATGTCAGACCAAACTTGGCCTTACCTCGCCTCAAAATCTAATTACTTACAAGCAAGTCTGCCTTTCCTTTTGGATCCATAGTTTGTAAGCGGAACAGCCATGATTTATTTATGACAACAAAGCTGGCTTTCTACAGATTTCATTCCGACCGAAACGGTTGCATTAAAATTAAACGATTTATTATAGTCAGACGTTCGCTGGTTTTAGCCCCGGTTTGCACAAATTCCTGTATTTACACACTAAATTGGGACCAGGCTGAAGCGGAATTGGTATTTTGAAAAGAGAAATTACGCTAAGATTAACGTAAATGCTCCAATGGAATCTTTTTCTGGGCGGGCGAAAAATATTATGCTTGGTGGCATCTGTTAATTGATGTTCGGCAATTGGTAAACTCTATACGAGGTCAATGCAGCATCAAATCTGAAACTTCTTTATCAAGCATGTGAATTACTTTTATTTGACGCGCGATATGCTAATTTAGTAGACTGTAGTTGCACAGAGAATAGTTCAACCTGTTATGTAGCACAATTATGGTGCAGTTAGCAATAAAAAAATATATTAGCAAAAAACGACGTTTTTCGAAAAAAATATCCATCCAATTTATACCTAATGACTTGTCTTACTTGTCTTGACCTCAGCTTGGACACTGGATCCATTATGCCTGCTATCTTCTTTCTTCCCCTCAGATGAATCATTTTGAGATGCAGCAACCGTTTCGCGGGGAATTTGCACATTTGCTATTCTCATAATGCTCTAAACTCTATGGTATAGGTACGCAGTGGTTAGGAGTTGAATGGGAGTTTTTCCATTTTTCTAATCCGTCCGTAAGGTGCGTTCTTAGATGGTAAGAACCCATGTTTGATGCTCCACAGATAGGACCCTGGAGTTCTTAAGTCGTGACAGACTCTTCCAATATAAACTATCTTCCGAGTCAGTTATTAAGACACACTTCCGCACTGTCCGATGTCTGAAAACATTGATTTAACAACAGATTTTTATTTTTCTACATAGTCTTCATGTAACTCTATACACTTCTCTCAGCGAAGGTGATTGCCGAAAATGAAGTCGCTTGGGGCTAGATCTGACGAGTAAGGCGGATGGAAAAGCAGTTCAAAGCGTAAGTATTATTGAAATAGAATTTTTTTTGCCGTCTTTCTGTAAACGCGTTGACAGCGTTTTCATGCCTAAATCTTGGTTTAAAATGTGAGAAACACGTTCTTCTGACATTTTCATAACTTCTGCTATCTCTCTCATTTAACACCATTTGATATTATCGTCGGCAGTTACAGTTTTTGAACGTCACTTCCTAAGCCCTTAAGACCATGTATAAATTCAGCTGCCCAATATTTCAGTGTGGTAAGTGACGGTGAGTCCCCATACACAGAGTCCAAGTCAATTTTAATTTGCGTAATTGTATTGCCTTCCAAAAACAAATATTTTGTAATAGCTCTATACTCATTTTTTTCCATTTCTTCAACTAAAAACCAACCTTCCGAAATGGCTAAAACTTTAATGAGTAAGTATCAAAAGGTGCAGAACTACGATCACTAGCTTTTAGTAACTAGTGCCGCCATCTTGATTGTGAGGTCGAAAATTTTTCTGCTATATCTCGTAACTTGTATTTATAATATACGCACATCACTTTTTATGGATTTTATGCACTTTTGCATTTTCATAGTGAATAAACAAAGGTCTTCAACTTACACTACGTGGGAGACTCTGATTCCTAGTCGAACGATTTAACCTTTAGACCAGGACTCAGTCTATTCGAAAACTGAGATATTTCCGAAATTTTTTGGTACATACTTACAAATTTTCATCTGATTAAAACCAATAACATTTTAAAAATTAATGTTTTTGTTTTTTAGATAATAATTTTACACCAATATTTAATTCCGTATGTATTAACCATATGACAAAATACGTTTAAATAATTCACTCGGTTGGTCATTTGGGAACCTTTGCACAAACGATTTTAGATGTTCTCGGGTGCAATTAACGAACAATTATGTTAATAAGTCGTATATATACCTATAAATCGACGCGTCGATTTTTACTTTCAAGTATTTATCAAATGGCACAGTCTTTACGGCAATGCGAACATGTTTGCCATACTAGTTTTGTTTTGTGTTTTTTCCCGTCTCGACGCTCTGACGTTCCTGCGAAAACATGAAGAAGTAACTATTGCCGTTTTATCTACGGGAGATAGCGATAAACTATCATCAAATTTCAGAACAAAAACTATCAAGTTCGAACATCGAATGGTTTAATTCAAGGTTCGATGGAAAAGAGCGAAAATGGTGTCAGTTATTACAGTTTCATGGGAATACCCTACGCCCAGCCACCGGTGGGTGATCTAAGATTCCGGGTAAGAATGATAAACTTGTGATTTGCCCCGATTGTCCAATTTGCAAACATATGCTCTATAAAGATTAAAGTGACAATAAGAATTATCAATAAGATGAATGGTTACAACAAAATCTATCTATTGATCTGCCTTCAAAAGATTGGGATGTAACCCAAACAAAATAGCTGGAAATAACCGTTCTTATATGTCTAAACAATACACCGTTCTATATTACACACCAAAGGCAAAGCTAATAATAATAATAATAAAAATAAAGTTTTTTTTAATAAATAAATATAAAATTTAGCAAACACAACATTTCTTAATGACTAATACCAAATTTTTAATATACAAGTACAACCAAACAGCAATTAATAAATATTAATATCTACATTATAAACTAATTATAAGCCAGTAAAAAGCGCTTCAAATCAATATATAACACAGAGAAAAGTGAAAACCACAGACAAAAGTCGTAGTGCACTGTGCTGTGAAAATAAGGGCTCATTCTAGTTATTTGTCAAATTTTCAAACAGCATGTGTGTAGCGATGTATTTTCTAATAACCGTTGTTGTTTTTACCTCTTATAGTTATTAAGATTTCATAAATCTGACAGTGTCAAAATTGTTGCGTTCGTAATGGCGACCTATAAATTCAAAGACTTAATGGAAGACTATACAGGCAGTATAATTAGCCGCTCTTAAATACTTCAAGGTTATCACAATTTTATACTAAAGATGCAAAGCCACTATATATTTCACAGCTTCAGAAAAGTAAAGTTCTATTATTTTGGAACTCGCCTAATTGATATAAGCTATTTTGATATATTAGGTATTGCTTCACTGTGAGTTTCTTTATGATTGGTGAGCACGCTTCGGGAACTGTATGCTCCACCCACAATCGATGCTAGTCTGATGTTCCATAATTAATCAGGTTAAATGGATTTCTTGGGTCAGGTTCACGTTTGCGATTTGACCCTATGTTCGATAGACGTTTCGAGTTTTGTTTCCGAAGCTTGCCAATTTTTAATTAGCTGAGAGATTAAATATACACTTATCCTCCATTCCGTTGTCTCGAACGACAGTATTATTATTTGGACATTAATTATTTAAAAAATAAGTGTGACTTTCTATGAATTATTTCCAAGGTTCTAAAAATTAAACACCACAGATGTTTAAAACAAAGTGAAAAGATTGACATTGACAGGTTGGTTCTTAAAAGCAACGGAAGGGTCGAAATAAATCTTTCGAAAATTTACTATACAGTATTTTGAAATAAATTCCTAGCGAGCGCGTCCATCTTTGATGATGATTGTGTGTAAAGCTGAGACTGTTTTTGACGGCATACGAGAAAAAGTCAATTCCTTCTGTGTAAGGAACGTGGTCAATTTATTTATTATGGGGCACTCTGCATACTTAAATACATCTTTTTTATAAACATCTCTAAAGATAGGAGAGAATACTATCGAGAATAATATTTTGGGAAACCATAACATTTAATTTCAGTGATTTTGCTACAAATTAAAGTTAATTGGCGAATGCCGGCGGGAAGGCATAATTTAAAACAAAGTTACTTTCATTTTCATCGAACTTTAGATATTTTAAGCATTTTTTTAATATAATCATAACTAAATAAAAAACATTTTTTGTAATGCAATGGGGGCTATTGCTAAAACAAGGGGTCAAAATTCAATAACAATTAACAACTAATATGAAGGGATTAATCAATCGTACACCATAAAACCATTATGTGGGTGTCTAATTTTATTTCGGTTTTTCAAATTGCCCACAAGTTATAATTTTGAGTACACTAAAAATAATCAATAATTATGATATGATAACTGCAATGCAAATAATTTCCAGCAAAAAAAGTCTAGGCCTGAAAGCTGGAAAACTTGCTTAATGTGAAATACTGGCTTTAAATATTGCTAAAATACTTACTGGAGCAAATTATTGGTTTAAAATCAAGATAAATATATACCAGGTGAGTTTAAAAGTAAGCTGACTCGATCTACGATATTTTTTTTTTGTTATGTTGATGCACATCTCCCTAATATATGTTCACAGTTTCAAACATTAAACCTATGCGCGGCGATTTTCTGTTCTAAAAAAAAGGAACATAGAAGTTGCATAAAATATTGTGTAAAAAATGGAATATTGCTTCAAAACACTTGAAATGTTGACAACGGCATTTGGTGAATGTACTTTGAGTATTAGTATGAGGTTATTCCGTGGAAACCAAGGCCCATTTTACAACTTCCCAATGGAAGAGGCCAGAATCGCCAAGACCGAAAAAAGCAAGTCAAGTTTGATCAAATGTTTGTTTCAAAAGATTTTGCTCACTGTTTTCTTTGTCGTACGGTTAGTAATGGGTATTATTTTGAAGTTGAAAGCTTACGAAATTGTGGGGAAACTAAGTTAAACTGAGTTTAACTTTTTGACCAAAAAGAAAACTACAATCATATCTCAGGCCCCATATTCACCGGGGCGACTTCCTGTTCCCAAAACTCAAAAAACCCGTGAAAGGAAGGAGGTTTGCAATGATTGAGGAGATAAAGAAAAAATCTCTGGAAGAACACAAGACTATACCGGAAAGTGCTTACCAGAATTGCTTCGAGGATTGGAAAAAATGTTGGCAGAAGTGTATTATAACGGGGGAGAGGGGGATTACTTTGAAAGGACAACATTAATTTTGATATATACTTTTTGATAAAACTTAAAGGTCACCTTACTTTTTGAACACACCTCGTAGTTTATAAAACTTGCTGCTCGATAATGTAGATCATTTTACTTTTACATTTTTTATACGATTATGTCTATTGCATTTGCTAGTACTTCCTGCCAACTCTAGGTGTTGCTTTTTACGTTGTTGACACTATAATAGTTTCAAAATCGACTTCCGAAACCAAATGACACCATGCGGACTTCCAGGATCCGAAACCATTAACGTCTTGGTCAGGAGTTCTTAATACAACTTCTCAAGGGCCATGCTGTGCAGGTTTCGACACGTTAAAATTGAAGAATTTTGAATTGCTTCCTTACGGATCAGAAGATTGCTTGTATCTAAACGTGTTCACACCGACGGTAACGATATTGAAAGTTCTCGGTCGATGTTAAATTTTAGGTTAATTTTAGATTTACCGAGCAAACAACAGCCACAAACCATTGCCTGTAATGGTGTATTTTGTAGGTGGGGCATTCTTCACGGCTTGTCCGCTCAGGTTTATTTTTGGACCCGACTATTTTATGGAAAACGAAGCGGTCTTGGTCACTTTGGCTTCCAGAACTTCAATGTTTGGTGCGTGGTTGGAAAATGGCGATCGGATTATTCATCAATGAGTTCTAGGCTACATGAGTACCGAAGATATGGAGTGTCCTGGAAATTGGGCAACGAAAGACCAGATCGCAGCACTGAAGTGGGTCAAGACAAACATCCGAAATTTTGGAGGTGACTCCAAGAAAGTTGTCATTTTCGGACAAAGCGCAGGAGCAAGCAATGTGAATACGCTTTTGGTAGCTCCTAAAGCGAAAGGGCTATTTCAAGGTAATACGATAAAAATTAACAACTACGAACAACCAACAGGGCAACGAGTGCATAACTAGATAAAACTGAACATATTTTAATTATAAAAATAAATTTATAGTCAACCATCCACTACCAAAAAAAAAAACCTTGTGGCAATCTTTTTAATTGAAAGTGTATCACCCAGTTTACAAGTAAACAAGTTAATCAATGTTTTACGTGAATTATAAAAAAAAAACTAAAGTAAAATTAGCTGTCCTAATTGTCTCTAATTGCCCGCTCCAAAATAGATTATAATTTAATTAAATAAATATTGCTTGTCTGCAATCAATAAGAAGTAAATATATTGCAGTAAATTAAATGAAAGCAAATTCAAATAGTAAATATGTTCAACTATTAACAACCACATTACCATCTTTTTTTTTAATTTTACAAGTTTACAAATTTCAGGTGCCATAATGCAAAGCGGATCAAATTTGTGTCCCTGGGCCTTTCAAGCGACACCAAGGAAGATAGCATTCGATATAGGAATGTCCCTTGGAATAACGACCAACAGTAGCAAAGAGCTTCTGCGAATTTTTAGAAGCCTCCCGAGCGAAGACCTGATGAAAGCTCAGATACTAGCATTCATGGCTGTACGTTTAAACGAGATGCTCTGCGTGGCCAAATAACTTATTTTGTTTAGAACACCGCGCAAATTCTAACAACTGGTCTCGCGTTTGCTCCAGTTATCGAACCTCGACATGAAAATGCCGCCATTACTGATTACACTTATGACATAATGAGGAAGGGTAATTTCAACAAGGTACCCGTTATTTTAGGAATAAACTCACTGGAAATCAAGTACTTTGAAGGATGTAAGTTACAAATTAAAAACAATTAACTCGTATTTAAATGTTAAATTGTTCGATTTTAGTGGTAAATTTGGCAAAAATGCCCGTCCTGTTTCTGGCAGACCTTAGTCCAGGAACATTGGTACGATTCACTAACTCAATCCAGAAAAAGACCGACGCGGGGAACCAAATTGCGTCTTATTTCACCGGATCTCGGACCTTCTTGGCTTTGACGCAACAGGAGGTGTTAAAGGTGGAATTGAATCATGTTTATATTTTCAATATTTTTAATGCGCAATTCTTTATTTAGTATTTATCGGAGGACATGTACGTTAGGCCAATGAGAAAGACCGCAAGTCTACTATCCGAACATACCGCTGTATATTTTTATTATTTTTCGTACGAAGGAGATTTGGCCCTGCAAGGTTGCCGTTTCATGGTTGGCAATTATGACAGGAATGTAAAGGGCGAGTATTTATATTTCTCAATTTACAATATGAAATCGCTATGAACAAAATATAGGAACTTTTGAAAATAATTGTTCAGAAGGGCCATTTGAAGTCTCGGTTTAAGTCAACATCGCCTATCATTTCAAAGACATGTCGGCGTTCAACAAGCAACATGATCGCTGACAGTTCGTCAATTAGACAAGTCTGAGTTTATCATTGTTATGGTAGTATGTGTTCAAAATTTGCCAAGATATCGTTCAATGTTCGAAGAAAATAAGCTAGGTGTGTGGAGGTCGCTGTTTAGAAAGAAAAAGACGCAAAGTGCAGTGCAAGTTAGTGTTTATAGTGTTCTCATTGTTGCCTGAGGAAATGCGCAGCTGTCCCCCACTCATATACGGTTGCACTGGTTATGATGAAACGGCTTCTAAGGGCGCTGAGTCTTTCTGTGTCATCTCTGGTTCTTCTGAAAGCTCCAGTGCCGCTACGAACTGTGTAGAGACGATGTCTAGATCACGCGACATCTCATCACTGATTCATTCACCAGCATTAAGATAAATCATGTTTTCGGCGTCCCGATCACTCGTAGGCCTATATTATTGCTACCCTAGTTCAAATTCACTTAGTTGGCGATTAAAGGTACTTCTTCTTACAGGAGTCAGGAATGGCTCTAACCAAATTCCTTTTAAAAAAATATGAACAATTGTAAACACAAAAAACAACAGCAAAACATTGTAAGCCTCATAAGAGTTTATTTTATAGAAAAATTTAAATGCAATGGCACTGAAAATAGTGGCTATTATTCAAGGTACTTCATGAATAACTCAAAACCCCTAACTCATAGTAGTTTCCTTCAGGTTTCCCTATATCGCGTGTATGGTAAATTACATGGTTTTCATATATTATTGTATTGCATGCCTATTCTCATACACAATTTCAACGGTTATTTCGCATTTTTTCACAAAATTCAACTAAACCACAACTAGTTACATTGATTTTGAGCAAGTTTGATATTATTTTGGGTTTGGAGCCTTTGCAATTAATTTTGCACTCCGTGATTGTATTAAAGCACTAGTGTACACTTAACTTAACTTAACTGTAAGTTAACTAAAAGAAAATAAGAAAACCGCTTAAAACAGGGATAGGGAAGGCATGGGCAATGGATGTAGAATTTAAATATTTAAAAAAAAACGATGTAGTTGGTCGGTAAATTTTGGACACCCTGCAACCTAGCAATTACCGAGAAAAGAGAATTTTCCATTTAAGGAAGCTGAGTGCTGTGAGATACTTATGAATTATGACATATTTCAACACATCGCATTCAAACAACAAATAACTTTTGTAATAATAAAGCATAAATTTAAAATAAAGTATTATCGACATCTAAAAGATTCCCTAAATAGTGGGCTACCCTGGATGATAATAGTAATATTTATATATAAACCTTTTTAGGTGTTGGCCATGCGGAAGATATATTTTACCAGTTTAAGGCAAATTTCACCGATCCAGCATCTATAAACGATCAATTAACAATCAAGAGACTGACAAAGCTTTGGATAAACTTAGCCAAAACGGGGTAATTCTTTACAGACCATAAACTAAGTTTACCTCATAGCGATTCAACAAAAAAAGGCAGTGTCAGTTTTGTTATAGGAATCCTACACCAAGGAGAGACAAAGGATTGAATAACGTTCGGTGGCCAACCGTTTCTGGAGCACGCTTTCCATACCTAGAAATAAACAAAAATCTCGTGGTCCATGCGGAAAACTTTGACGAAGAGAATAATCGATTTTGGGAAAAACTTTATGAAAAATATGCCGATCGACCTTATAAAGTGTACTGATGTTTTTTTACTTATGTATTATGTCGTTTTTTCACTTTTATTTAGACTAAAATTTTTATATATTTCATATATTTTTATTTAGATTTATTTCAAATACATTTCTCGCACTAAAAACGATTTTTTCCACTCCCTATTCTAAAATACCCATGAAGAATAAAACTTGGCAGACACTTCAAACTTGTACAGCATTTTAGTCACGGTAGATATCAGCGGTATTTTTTGGTATGTTACCGAAAAATTCTTTTTTGACTTGTTAAATCGTTGTTGCAGAATATACTGCTACGTCTGCCATTTACAATTGATTACTCAGTTTATAATCATCCCACACTGCGATTTCTTACCATCTAGTAAAGATTCCTGTGCAATATACATTTCTTTTTTTTTTCATCACACATCAAATGAAACCCTATGAAAGATAAACTGGGATAGTAAAAACAAATAAATAAGAAGAGCACTGAGAATAAAACGGTCTCTGATAATTTTAAAAGATTTCATTTCAATTTATATCAAACAAAAATAATTGTGACACACTGCACTGGCTATCTTGCAATAAAACTTCCAAATTTCAGAACAGCTTAGAACCAAGGAGGCAGAAATAAATATATGTTTCTTAGACATATGTGGTAGGAACGCCAACACAACCACCCTTTCATTAAAACAGTGTCTTGTAAAACAAAAAAGTTTCTTTTGTCTATCCTTCACCTATAAGTGAAAAAATAAACAGAAGTCGAGGTACATGGTCTCAAAGTCAGATTGTTTGGCTTCTTGTTTTAGTTATAGGAAACTTTTTATTTTATTAAATATGTTTCCAGGTATGTGATAAAAGGAGATTAGTACTTTAAAATTACTATTATGTAGATAAGGGAAAAAAATAAGGACGCCAATGAAACCAACACAATGGGCTGGCATTTAAAATTTAAAACTTACCATCATTTGCGCAAATACACATACTTTCACATACCGTTTAAAGTTGCCGATTCTCTCAATTTTCTTGTGTCACTTAGGACTTTTTATATGTATAGCTTCAAATAACAAACTAACAGATTAGTTTAGTTTTTCCCTTATCGAAATTATTTAAACAATTAGTGACTAATGTCATTTAATCCCAAAAAATTAAAACAACTACCAGATTGTATAGCAAATTTGCAATAATTGGGCGCGTGTGAGCGATAACCATGGTCTGTGGTAAAAACTGTGTCATTGTCAAGAACTTAGTATTACAAGTCAATAAACTTTATTCCCTCCGGATGTTCTAAAATGTTCCATTACGAAAAAGAACATAAATTAATGACTAAAATGCATTTCGTTGTTCAGTTTTTTTGCGACACCCATTAATACGAGCCGACGTAAAACGCCAACTTTTAGCAAAAATTCTTCAAAGTCGGTCATTTCTCCGCGAGCATTTTTCCAGAAAAGTACCACAACAAAAAAATGATGTTCGTATTTTTTATAATCTCGTTGTTAATTTTTCACATCGGAATCGACTGCCTCTCGTATGTTCCCGAAAGCGAACAAGTACGTTTTATTTCGAATGCAAGAAGACAAACTCAATCCGAAACTACGATATGTTGTAGTTCCAAAAGCTCCAGGTTCGAACTTTAAATGGATTAATACAAGGTGCGATTGACAGGACCGATTCGGGGGTAAGTTATTTCAGCTTCATGGGAATTCCCTACGCTGTGCCACCGCTGGGCGAGTTACGATTTAGGGTAAGTGATGACAAACCAAACTTTTAAAACTTATTCCTAGGTTTAGTATTTTACATATTTTATCTCCGACAATAGTAACTAATTATCAATAAATAACGCAAGAAAACGCAGTCCGTTTCGAAACGTTTCCTTAATTTTTTATATGCAATAAAATTTCGGCCGAAAACCCTTCCATAAGTTAGCAGATGCAAAAAAGCTTAGTCGGTTTCAAATAAGTTCGTGCAATAAAATTTATTCCTAAAACCCCCTCACTAAGTTAGCATACCTAGTACTATTGGATTCCTACTGCGTCGGTCATTGATGAATTGATCTTCCCGGGGTTTCGCCCCATCATCCTGTTGACTTCTTCAGACCTGAATAGCATTGAAGCCCATTTTGATTAATATCTACAGGTTTGACGTCGTTTTAGTTACAATTATAGTTTAGTTACACATCCAATTTTAACTGGAATCTGATTATAGGCAAGAAAAAAAATGCGCAAGAGAAATCCAGGAGAGTTGTAAATAGTATTACACTAGTCTGTAGAACTATCTTTGAAAAATTACTGATTGATGTTTGATGATTAATTATTTAACCTCAAGGAATTAATATGACGTCCCGGTTCTAGAGTCAATTTTTAATAACAGTGAGTTATTGAATGAAGGAAAAAATCTTCAATCTCACCGTCTTGACAATAGTGAACAAGATATGATATGATTTATTCCAACCAGATTGTTCCTACTTTTAATAAACTGAAAACGACGCTAAAAGAAGATGAAATTAATATAATTATTAACCGTGTCACTGTCGGTTGAGTTATTTATAAAATGGGATTTAAATACAGCAAAATGGAAAAAAAAGAAGTGGTAATAAATAAATAAATCTAGTTTGGACTGTCATGAAGATACAATAGCAGAACTTTTTGAAAAATGGTTTCTTTAAATCTTTTGAAAGTTAGTCACAGCAGTCAGCTACGAAATTCGCCAAATTCATGAAGAACAAAACCTTAAATTCAAGAATATTTGCTACAAAATGATACTCATTTTGAATTCAGTTAAGTTAAATTCATATACTTTTGTATTCCTCTATATCATTCGTTATTCAACCCCATAGAGCATTTGCTTAAGCAAGTAAAATCGAATTTGAGAGCAGAAAATGTTACTCCCACTTTAAGTACGAGATTAATAAAGTAATTAAATTAATTGACGAGAGCTGAAAAATGCAATTTTAAGAATTGAAGATTCTTGAATTTTCATGCAAAATAACATAAATTCCAAGTCCAAGTAAAGTCTTAATGACTATTGACACAAAATTGAATTATTGAATATTTGTGTACATTTGGTGCCCTCGCATTTTGTATTAGTACTAATATGATTTTATTATTCCTAAATAAAATAGAATATAATATTTAATCTTTTTTTTATTTTATTAGCGTCGGCCGATTATTTCGATCATCAAAAGCGAATTCGTTATACTTTGAAACATTTAAATTTCATTAAATTGGAAAGATCAAGATCAAGAAATTGAGAAAAATCACTAACTACAATAATGAAACCATTCACTCAAAGAAAGTTATAAAAATTCCTTCCAGTTTTCAATCGAAAAATAAAAGTTTTGGTTGTTAAGCAAAGTAACTTTTGTATGAGTAAAAATTGAACTAATTAAAATTGATCCCATTATAAGACAGAACAGGCGATAACCTCAGCTATCTTCAGAAAAGCACATTAGAAAGAAGTGCTCTAGATTTCAGATACGTACTTATAGTGTGTACTTAATAGTGTATAGATTTAGTACAATGTGACAGATGACGACTGTATGATGTTTTTCCAAAATAGTAACAAAGAATCTAAGGAATTTATCACTGCCGGCAATTTTATTATAATAAAGAAATCAAGGAATATTTGCGAAACGGTCTGAAAGACAAATCAAAATGTTTTCCAACCATACGGAAGATTTTATTTCAATGAAGTCACTCATTTGATTATATTAGACTTCCTATAAACGCTACTGCTTCTTCAGAGAAAAATGAAACTATTAGTTGTAGTAACTTTATTCTTACATTCTTCAGTTATCATCATAATTATCATTCAGGATCCACAGCCAATGCCCAAGTGGTCCAAAGTGTTGGATGCCAGAACTGAAGGTCCTTGTTGTATAGGAATAAGTACGTTCGATTTAAAGGACTTTAAGATAGTGCCTTCCGGGTCGGAAGACTGCCTCTATCTCAGTGTCTTCACTCCAAAAGTAAATACATATTCCTATTGGCAGAAAGCGCTGGATGTATGGTCGATCCTTTTAGATCAATGAAGGGAACTCCAACGATAATCTGTTACCCGTCTTGGTTTACATAGTGGGAGGAGCGTTTTTGACCAGTTGCACCCCCAAATTCGTCTTCGGTCCGGACTATTTTATAGAGAATGGGGTCGTAATAGTGACGTTCAATTTTCGAACCACTATGTTTGGTTAGTAGGCAGCCAGATAATGTAGGTGATGCTGGGTTCAAAAATTTTGGTGGATTTATTTATTTCATAACATTTTGTTAAATCTGTAGGATGTGGGAACTTGCGAGATTTTTGATTAGTAGCTACGCTCCCTTAAAAGTACAAGTAGACATTTTAAAGTTCTGGATTTAGAATAATATATCTGCATTTCTCCAGATAATAATAATAATAATAATAATAATAATAATAATAACAATAATAATAATAATAATAATACTTATAGGAAAAGACATTTGCGTATTGTGAAAACCTGTTTAAAAAAACATGTTTTAAAACTGCAACTCTTATATTCACTAAATAAAATTATCAAAATAAATAAACATTATAAAAAGCTTGTCTCAAGATTATAGTAAACAATACTTCTCAAACCAACTTTTATAATGGCTTTTAATACTCTTTTCCCCACCTTTTTATTATAATCTTTTATTGTATGCATTCCTAGTAGTTCTTGCATTTTTGGTAATCAAAGTTACTTCAATCATAAATTTATTGCTGCCTTGTCTGTATATTCTGCTCTGAATGAAAATTATCACAAATATCAAACAATACAAATTTTCGCAACAAGAAAAAAAATTATGAATATTATTGATACTGTGTATTTCAAGAAGCATTTTTAATATTGAATTTAGGAAGACTAATGGGCAACTATGTATGCGATTTGTGTTTTTGATGGAAACCGCAAGTTCGACTCAGCAAAATCCGACACAGGAAGAATCCAGAAGTTTTGTAAAAAGTATTACAGTAGCCTGTAGAAATTTCTTTGAAACAAAAAATTGAAAAGCGCTTGTCTACTAACAAATTCTATAAACCCTGGAAATACGCTAACGTCATTTCTGTTCCTAAAACCTCTCAACTCCGACCTATTAACATTTTCCATATATATCTAAAGTACTAGAAAAATGCAATCTGGCATTAGGGCAGATCCTTTTAAAAGTTTGTGACGATATATTTCGGGCAAATGATGTAGGCCTGAATGTCTGCTTAATATTGTTTGATTATAGCAACGCATTTGACACCCTGGACCACCGCTTGCTCTTTGCTAAACTGAAATACTTTGGAGTGGGGGCTGCTGTGTTGCAGTTTTTCAAAAGTTACTTTTCTGATCGGTGTCAAAGAGTATTCTTCAATAACAGCTATTCCAATTATGTAAATTTTCACAAGGGTGTGGCACAGGGTAGTATTTTAGGTCCGATGATGTTTTCCGTTAATAACTCCGACTTCCGTAAATGTATTAAGCATTGCTCCTCCCATCAGTGCGCAGACGACACTCAAATATACCTATCTCTCCTTTAATTACTCTCAAATTAATGCCGCCGTTAATAATGTCAACAGTGACCTACGTCCTGTAACACCGTCAAAATTTACTTCAATGACCTTCTCTTACGTACGGTTGCAAGTAGTTTTGTTGATCCAGACATCGTTTTATAAGCTTTAGATTCTCTACTGTAATAAAGATATTCTGGACACAGCAATCAAGTTAAAACTTACCGAGTCCTTAATTTTCTCCTCAGTTTCATACTGTATGGCAGTTTACTGGCCTGCTCTACTTCAAAAGGACAAGGTTAGTCTTCAGCGTCTTCAGAATGACTATATCAGATTCTCATACAACATTTGTAAATTTGATATCTACCCTAGAGCATTCTCGCTGGCTAACTTTAGACGTTTTAAATCGCGGCTTTTAGTCTTAATTCTCTCCAAACGCCCGACATATCTTTTTGACAAACTTATTAGTGGATCATATATTCATTCGGTTAATACTAGCCACTTACCGTTCCCAAACATACTTCGGCACAGTTCCAGCGCAGTTTCACGTAAAAAGCTTACAACAAACTCCGTCACCAACTAAGATCAATCACCTCACTAACTTCATTCAAACAAAAACTTAAACAACACTTATCACAATAGAGACCAATCATAAAACTAGTAACTATCAAATTGTATATATGTATAGTGTTAATTAATTTTTTTCTTATCTCTTTCTTTTTTTGAATTCACTCTAGCAGTGTTAAAATTATTAAAAATGATTTTTTCCCAATTTGACTCTACCACTTCGCGTGAATGTCTATTTAATTTAATGCTGTATTTTATAGTTTATCTTATAGTGTCATATGTTGGATATCGCCCCCACAGTGATATATTTTGTAACATATCTCCTTCGAAATCGAATAAAGGTCCATTATTATTATTATTATTGTATTTATACTGTTTTACAGCTAACTACATAGCATACATAATGTGCTAAGTTAACATTTTCTAACTTGCAAGCCGGAAAAATATCCAAAATATTAATACGGAATTTGATAATCATTAACAAATCAAGAAAACCACTTTTTTGGCACCCAAGATATCCGCGAATATGTCTTAAAAGGTCTAACCCACATTATAGCCATGTTACAATTTACGGTTAGGGAAACGAGCAATTATTTACACCAAGTCGAAAATCTCCATAGGATACCTAAGCACGGAAGATTTAGAATGTCCCGGCAATTGGGCGATAAAAGACCAAATAGCCGCACTAAACTGGATTAAGCACAACATCCACAATTTTGGAGGCGATCCCAATAAAATTACCCTTATAGGCCAGAGTGCGGGAGCGGCCAGCATAAATCTCCTGTTAATGTCTCCAAAGGCAGAAGGTTTATTCCAAGGTGAGATAATTATTTAAACATTTTTTGATGTTCCTATCCTACGTACTCCGCTTTTACCATGTAATCACAACGTCAACTTATAAATTGTAATCTTCAATTTAGGAGTTATTATGCAAAGTGGATCGAGTCTGTGTCCGTGGAGCTACCAAATTTCTCCTCGAAAAATGGCGTTCGACATTGGCTTCTCGCTCGGTATAGAAACAAACAGCAGCAAGGAATTAGTCAGCATCTTTAGGAAGATGGATATTCAAGAACTTATGAGGGGTCAAATACCTGCTATTATAGTAGTAAGCAAAGATGAAATCATTTTTGCGTTGCTGTATATTTAAATATTTGTCAAAATTTTTGTTGATGTTTCCTGAAACAAGATTTGCTTATTTTTTATTTTCTTTGAGCTTAACTAACTACTTACCTGTCTTCTTGTTTTTTTAAAGTGACAAAATTATTTTGATTACCATTTTATATTTTCTGTTTTTATTTTAAACAATTACAATTGAATTGCAATAAATTAATTAACATTTTTGAAAAACACTATGTAACCTGTGACTTTCGTATAGATTCAAAGTCTAGTCCACTAAACAAATCGTTTGAAATGTTTGTCCACTTTTTAGTGGATTTGTTTATATTGAAGAGGTATTATTAATACCTCTATTTATATTACTTTCTTAAGCAATAAAATGTCTTATTTATTTATTTCTTTTGTATTATTCTTTATTTATTATTATTTCTTTTAAAATTATTGAATTATTAATACAATTAATCTACATTAATTAGGTGAAATGCAGTCCATTGAATACATCGTTTGATATATTTGTCCCCTTTATACTGGATAAATTTATATTAAAAACCTATTATTAATATCTGTATTTATATTGACATCTTAAGCCATAAAATTTCAAGTTTTTTCTTGTAAATTTGTTGAATTGACTTATTGAATCTCTATTAATTAGGTGACTTGAATTTTTAACGTTTCATTTCCGTTTAGAATTTTGCCCAAGTGTTAACAAATGGATTTCCTTTTTCGCTCTCTGTGGAACCCCATCACGAAAACGCAGTCATCACTGATTACACTTATAACCTATTGGAGCGGGGAAACTTTACTAGAGTACCAGTTATTATGGGAGTAAACTCGTTGGAAATGAAATATTTAAAAATATGTAAGTAACTAAAATGACTTTCTCGTCATTTTTACATTACTTACTTAACACTTATTCGGAGAAAAACACTTTGTGGCAAAAATAATATTGATTTCTGATTTACGTTCTTGAATATTCTCTACTGACACGCACACCAATTATACGAAAATCAACAGCACAATATTGTTAAGTCCAGCCGACATTGAGCTGGTTTAGGCTACTGCAAATACGTCTCCTAACATTTTTGTAAATTTCTAACACAATAAGTAATCACTGAACTTTAATAGATTTTTTGTTAGAAATAGGCAAACATTTTCAATTAAGTTTCGTCCTCTTGGCGCCACCTAGTTTTGGGTAGTTCCCGGTGCGTTAATATTAGTTTTTAAGGTTATGCGAATGATAAAATCAGTTTTTTTTAACAGACACTTTAACCCAAAGATAAAGGGGAAGGTCGCGTATACTGTTACGAGTGCCATCTATTATTTGCGTCCAAGTACTAATGTACTGTCATGGATGTTTAAAATAATGCGTCACACTGAAAATACTACAGTAGCTTGTAACGGATAACAGCACTTTTGTTGCATAATATACTATTATGATTGCGTCAAATTACATTGTGTAGTTTCCAGTATTAGCTAGGTACTGACTAAACAAAATCAAAAATTATCCCAAATAAGTACTCAAAAAGTTCATTAGAAAAATATTTTTTTCAAATTCCTATACTTAAGTTGATACTTTGAAATGTATGGAGGTGGTCGAATGCATTAAACTCGGAGTAGTCTCGAGTGGCGTCTAAAAAATCTATATTTTATAACTATCGTAAGTAGTCTGGAATAGATTGTGCTCTCACCAAAAATGAAAAGTCCTATAGGATTATAATTAATAAAAATTTGAAAGCGGTCCTTTTTTCTGCACCTGAGCGTATTATAACTAATGATTATCATTAAAAATCCTTAAAGGTATAAGTATTGTGAAATTATTCTATTCCAAGCAGACAACCATTTATAAGCGTAGATATTTTGCATACTGATAAAGAAATTTATTTACTTTATTCATCTTTCTAGTTCAATTTTGGTTATTATGTTATTTTTATGAGGAAGAAATGTAATGTAATGTAAGAAAATGTTTTAGTTGTAGATATTATTGGGATGCCAGTCCAGTTTTTGGCAGACATAAGCCCGGGATCGCTGATTCGCTTTACCAAATCGACGATCAAACGAAGAATTGCGGGCATGAAAATTAGGTCGCACTTTTCGCGATCGGATGAATTCGTTTCGTTAACTTCTGAGGAACTCATTCAGGTTTGCGGATTAATTTTTAATGTCCGCTTTCTGACAAGCCCTTCTGTTTTAGTATCTGTCCGGTGATATGTACTTTAGACCAATGAGGAAAACGGCGACGTTACTGGCCAAAAAAAATCCCGTATACTTTTACGTGTTTTCTTATGAAGGAGAACTGGCGAAACGAGGAGCAAGTTTATTCGCCAGATCTCCCAGTAAAGATGTGAAAGGTATACCACAGAAAACAATAAATCCACATTAGTTTATTAGCTACATTTGTTTGTTTTGTCGAAAATTCTATGCCTACATGGACCATCGTAATGCTGCTTTACTATTTTACTGGCAAATAATATTGTGACGTCCTTAAAATGAATCTTGTCTCAACAGGTATCAGTGGAAGTTTCAGCTTATAACTGCGCGTAATATTTTTGTTTTAGGTGTTGGACATACTGAAGAAATTTTTTATCAATTTAAGACCAACTTTACCGGACCCGTTTCCATCAGGGATCAAACAACAATTAACAGATTTATGAAACTGTGGATAAACTTTGCTAAAACGGGGTAAATATCAAACCTTTACTTAATTTTCACTTAGAAATTGCGTTGCTTTTCAATATCTAGAAATCCCACCCCAGCCAAAGACGATGACTTAAGTGCAATAATTTGGCCAAGAGTTTCATCTGTAAAATTTCCCTACTTAGACATTGGTGCGGAATTGAAAATATCCGACAAAAATTTCGACGAAAAAAATTACAGATTTTGGGAGAAACTCTATCAACAGTTTGCTGACAAACCGTACAAGTCTTTCTGATAAAGAAAAAAACATTAAATGAATAATGATTTTTAAATTTTATTTATTTATTTATATTAAATTAATTTGAATTTAACGTTTAATTTTGTAATTTTGTGTTTCTCCTAAATCGCTTACCTAAAAGAGTATGGGAGTTGTAAAAAGTGTTTGCAATAAAAAGAATATTACTTTTTTTGGTATTTTATTTATATAATCAACCCAAACGAACTTTGGTAAGCAAAATCGTTCAAATGTAATACAAAAAGCAACTCACAAAATACATACATTCAACATCATAAAAAATCGAGAAACTCAAAACTATCAAGTTAAAATATGTCACAAGCCGAAAGTTAAAGAAAGTGCATTCAAAAGAGTTGGCGTGATGTTATTTTAAATATTGCAAGGAAATTATCATTAAAGACCATAATAATTATGTTAAATACAATTAGAGTAATTAATATGTGATAGGTATAGAGAATATTATAGTTAACTTACACACTAATGGATATAATAGAGCACACTTACAATACACAAAAATAATGGCATTTCAAACCATTATCACAAAAACAATATGAATTGTCATTTTTCATATAAAATTAATTTAATGGCTTTTACTGGAAGTTTGGTTGACTAGTCACAGCAAAAAATGACAATACAAGACTATTTCTAAAAAAATATATGCCCAGAATATAATCTGTCACTACGTTAGGAACTTGAAAGCGGAAACAAATTGCAAAATGTGTTGGTGTTTAGGAAGCGATCTTTACGATTTGGAAAAATTTGAAAGAGTCTAAAATGCCACCACAAATAAGTAGTCAATAAAATACACCTAAGGCTACATCATTTCAAATATCCTAAAGATAAAGGCAAGCTGAAGGACTGCCCGTTGAGTATTACACGAATTATACATGTTAAATCTGGTCAATAGCGTTTAGCAGATAAATTCCAGGTCTAATTTTGGATTTAATCTCAACATCTACATTTAAATATTTGAATGCATGCTTAAAATTTATAAACATCTATATAGTTTCGTAATTAGCAACTGATAACTTTTTTACTCTGCTACATTGGGTCATATATAGTTTCGCCAAACAGTCTGGAACTTGTTACGCAACCTAAATTGAAAATAGCACTACCTGGACTGATGTAAAAGTTCTAAGACTGCCGACTGCTCATCATCAGCTATAATACAATATAGTAGTTTTATCAATAGCGTATTACCTAAAAAGCTGGCGACGCACAACCTTCAAAACTTGTACAGCACGATTACAATTAAACAAAACCAAATCGCCAACCGTACTAAAAACTACATAAATTGGAAAACGAAAACAACTTAGTAAAGCATAAAATTAAACAATAAGCTACCTATACAAAATCAAGAGTATATGGCCTACAGTATGATGGTATAGCTTTTTCTTTCCCGTTAATTTTGGCACCAACTGTAGACTGAATGCACAGATTATTTCCCCGATATTTTGTTACGAATATTGGATAGCGCAATATCAAGTAATCTATTAACGAAGTGGTCAATTTTTTTCGTTACTCAACATAGATAAATACCATAAAAAACTACAAATTAAATTGAATGAGAAGAATTCTTATAACTTTCTGATTTGGAGTCATTCTAATGCTGTCAAAATAATCGGTTTTATAATCAAAATAAAATGTGATCACTTTGTTAAAGAATTGATAACCTTGAATCTTATAATTTTCCCGCCCAAAAACGGATATAATCTGTGCCAGGGGCATATTTAAATGTCAGTTCAAGTAGTCAATTGTTTAGAATTTTAATGTCAAAAATATACTTTTCCCAGATCAACTTACACCTGGAAGAAAAGTCATCCTGTTGACTAAAACTGACATCCGAGATGCACCGCATGAACCAAACATCCACGAACCATAAAAATATCACATGACACATTGAGCCACTTTGTACAAATCATTTTTTAACTACACAAGAAAATATAAAAAAATTCCAAATTATGCGACAAAAATGTACGTTTTCAATGTAGCGGCTCCCGAGCCCACAAAATAAAGGCAGCTTAATAATAATATATTTGGTTTGAAAAGAGAGTGTGAAGTAAAAATTTCGCAATAAATATTCACCGCTATTTTTTTTTTAATAAGAAATGCGTTTTTTTTAAACAAGCACTTTGCGCTAAACCGATTTAAATAATATACAAAGTCAGTCTCATCGACGTGAACATTTATTGCAAAATCGGGAAATTTAGTAACCACAACATCTGATCGATGCTACCATTAAATATGGACGCATCGAACGCGTTAGTAGTATTGGCGGCTGCTAAATTTCAAAAGTGTAAAGAAATTCATTACTTGCTTTTTTACAAATTACACTGCCACAGTATCGTAGGCTGTGAGTCCCCCGTTTGCTGCTGCGGTTTGCCCTGTTTCGTTTCTAAAAAAAGGAATTATAAATGCATATTTTAGACAATCAATATTGTATAAAAAATCCATTTAAATAAAGTTAATTAATAATCAACTTTCAACAATTAAACATCTTTTTGAAATCAGAAATTATCTACAAGTAGTAGTAGCCACTTTGCCACTTTACGGGTCGAAATAAAACTATAATCAGATATATTATTTATTATATCTTTATTATGCTTATTATATTCCATGGTTATCACTATATTCTGTAGCTAGTGTAGAACTGTAGAATGATTATAGAGACTTTTTGCGCCTCTTATGATATTTCAAGCTTATATCACTTGAGTGCTTATTAACGGATTATAATCTAAGTTTTCTGACGTTATTTTGAAATCAACATTTTTATTTTTTGTACGTTTTTCCTTGTTGGCGTTTGACTTTAACGTAACCCACGTTTTCGTTATTTAAAAGAAAAAAATGTGTGTGATAAAATTTTAAAATGCAGAAGCGCTCTTCTCCTCAATCACAATCACAACCTTATAAGAAATAGTGGACCTCCTTTCAATTTAGAAATTGGGATTTTAAACAGGATTTAGATCTCCCGCAATAGCTGTAGGTCGTCATTATCGTTTTCCAATATTATGCATTTTTGAAAAATAGAAAAGGAAACTAAAAATGTCTTGGCTATAAAAATTCGCGTTCAAACCGCTCAACAAGAAAGAACCTGGTTAAATAAAAATATTTAGTTTAAGTACAATGAAATTAAAGCTTTAAAACAAATCATAACCCAAAATAACAGCTATTTTCGAAACTTATCGTATTACTACTGAGAACTCCGCCTACGCTGCGAATTTTACTAACGACACCTTTATTTTCACCATAGATCGCGTTGACCTTTATCGGCTAACAAGGGAAAACGTTATTTACAGTCAAGTACAGCTACTTCGAATAAGGGAAACAACACCAAAGTCAGAGGTGCAAAAGTATTATCTCTAACCATCCTTATTACCTTAGTTCTATTTTCTGTTCTGTGATCATCAGCTATTCTGCGCTAATATTTTTGAGATTTCAAAATAAGATCCTTTACTGGCGATGCTGATTTTAGGAATTGAGTGATTTATTTTTAAATTATTAAATAGATAAGTAGTTATTTAAAGCGCAACAAGTTTTAGCCCTTTTTGTGTTAAGTGAACTGTTATGATCACACTACCCTAGTTGTCACAGGGTGAGTATTTGAGGATTTAAGAAATTATTAGGCAATTGACATAGCTTTATTTTTCTGGGGTAAGGGAATGCTTATAACAGCTAAGGTTTTCTTTCTCTCTCCGGCTAAGTGGACATTCTTAAACTGGAATGAACATTTGTTGTTTGTTAAAAGTTTGAATATTTTTTTCATAAAAGCAACAATTGAATGTTAAACATTCTCATCCATCAAAACAGTTTTCAGTAAATCAATACCGCATCAACTTCAACTGGTAGAATCTCACTAAATTCTTGCTAATCAGATGAAGTACTGAATTTTACCTGAATAAGAACATTATAAAAACACAGTTTCTCGTCATGCAGGAAAACATTGATTGTAAAACACCAAAAGATTTTAGTCATTCTCAGTGCAGTATTAGAAACATAAAACACAAAAAGTGCAAACATAATAACAACACAAAAAGCGAATATTAGTATGCACACTTACAGTTTCCTGTTTGAGAGGAAATCATGAAAAAATCAACCCAATTTAATAAAAACACTAGATTTTGGGAAATCACGCAATGAATGGGGGTGATGATTATGAGACAAATGCTTAGTTGAGTAAGTTATATATAAACTCTTACATCAGCAATCTGTAACAAGTTTGTAAGTCATACACCAAGATGTCCGAATGTGCTAGAAAAGTATTTAAATTTCACTTATGAATTATTAGATTCTTATTATTTTTTGATTATTATTGAGTTACAGATTGGTTAACACCATTAGGCAAAAAACGAATTATCTTTCGATGTTATGAATTATGTAAAGGGGTAACTTTCACTTTGGTACTGACCTCTCAATCAGTTTTCGCATTTCTTCATGGGTCATGCCATCCTTCGCGTTACCTCTCATTACTGAAAAAAATGACACTTACTACACGACCACAACTAAAACGACAATTAAACTTCTAAATATCAAACATAATATAATATTATTTATTTGCAACCATTTGAATTTGATTTGAAACCTGCAAATAAATAACTTGGAGAAGTTCATTATGCAACATAAACGATTTGAAACAAACACATAAGGGCCAGGAAGATGGATTGATACAGACAGACAATTTAGTCACCGCATGCTGTTAAGGACATTGTCATCATCATACTGAATGATACGAGAAAATGTTAAATTGTCAGATGAATGATGGAACGAGTTGAGAGACTAATCTAATTCTAATAGATCACGCTCAAACAACTCCACTTACCCTGATCCTCTTCTGAAAATAAATGTTATTTATTTTATTTATTGTTTTCAACAAGTTCTGTGGATTAATACGGTTTACAAATTTTTACTTCCGTCAAAATGTCATTTGGCAGATATTTTCGGATCGAAAATAGCTGACACACTTCTAGTATCTATTAAGAGTGGCCCTTAACTGGTACTAGAATGAATTTATTATCCAAAAAGATCTGCTAGCTTGACAGTGGGTGAAAATCTAAACCAGCATTCCATTTGACTAAAGTGTAGCAAGGGTGTGAAAGCAGTGTAACTATAACAAGCAAGGTATTTAAAAATATGCGCGCGTTTTTACTGAATGTGCTGTAATTAACAAAGTGATTATGCGACTATTTTAATCACCTCCATAACTCCTGCTGTTGATTAATTGGTCCCTATCGCATTCTGCTTCCGATATCTCGTTGGAATCTTTGGAGTCGTTAAAAGAGGGATCATGGTTACGTGGTGGTGGTGGTGGGGGTTCGGGACTGTTACTGGTTGGTGGAATTCTTAGTGATCCTGAAACAATGACGTTTTATTAGCAGTTTGATTTCGTGAAAGTTGTTTTAACTCACCAAGAGAACGACGTCCGATAGAACCGCGACTTCCGTATTGGTCATAAGGAGCCCCGTAACCACCATACTGGGAGCCGTACTGTTCATCTTCCGGGGCACAGTTAGCTGGGTCATCGTACTCTGGACCAGGAGAATAGATGCTTCCGTTTCCTATAAAATATTAGAAAATGTCAGCATTTCAAAAGTTAAAAAACTGAATTTCTTGAATTGGACTGAGGTGGCTTTTACTTGATGAAAATCGACTTAACACAATTAAATTAGAACAAAAAATGTTTTCACAGTTATTTAATGATTTATAACAGCCGGTTCGACAACACCGTGCTCAAATATAAAATATGACAATATTCCGACACCTATGTTTATATAAACAGGTAGTAATAGATTTTTAATTACCAGTGTAGGTTAATTAAATTTAACAACGGAGACGCATTTAAATCCAATTGGTCATTCTAATATCTCATTTTGTTAATCTCCATAGCTTCCAACAAATTTAGTTTTTTGCTTTTCGATAGATTATGTAAAATATCAAAATTAACGTCAAATTTGTGCAATTCTGTGCATAGTTAGAATCCGAATTTTTATTTTTATACGCCCTTTTATGTTCGTTAATGCGTTTCTTAAGTGTTCTACCTGTTTGTCCGATATAAATTTTGATGATCCACATTCACTTTTATTGTTTTTTTAAAAAATGTCCTATTTTGTTTTCAGTTCTAAAAGCAATCTTAAGACCAAATTTAAATAGATGTTTAGAAATTTTCTTGCTAATTTCAGTTCAGAATTGTTTTTCCAAATTTTCTGTGGAAAGTTGTATACTAAGGAGTCTGTGGATAAAAGTGTGTGTAAGGGTGATGTGTGTTATTATGTATTATTGTGTCCGTGTGTGAAGGTTTATGGTAAATGGAAAAATCTAATTTGTTCTGTAGTTTGGTTATAGTTAAGACCAGAAAGTTTGTGACTCAAAACGGACTGTTGTTTTTCTATTCCATTAAAACTAGCAAAAACATCATCTACGTGTCTATGCCACCATAGAATGATTTACTCAGAGGATGTTTTTTAAATTGTCCATGAAACTTTCTGCAAGTAGTGGACTAAGTGGGTTTCTCTTAATTCATAGTTTAGCAATATAAAATTGACCATTAAATTCAAAATAATTTTGGTCTAAACAAACTATTAAACTTCCAGCAAGTCTTGTTTTATGATAGGGTTGACCTGTCCCTGAATGAGAATGTCTATTATGTTTATTACGTCAATTGGTGGAATGCCAGGAAATAGATTCACCTTGTTAATTAGTTCGAACGAATTTTTGATAACATATCTAGGTTTAAAGGCAGTATGATATTCTAAAATATTTATTAATCTTGTTGAGAATTTAACTTTTAATGGTGCTGTTACAAAAGAAAGTACAGGCCTTATTGGCATATTCCGTTTGTGTAATTTAATTAAATAATATAACATTGGAGGCTGAGGATTCATGATTATTAGTTGGTATTTTTCCCTGTCATTAAAAAAATGATGAATCTCTAATGACAGTTTTGATTTGTTTTTGATATAATTCGGTGGGATCATATGTTTTTTGTACCAATTTAATTGAACTGAATGTCTCTATAAAATGTTTAATTGGAAAATCATAAAACTTGGTTAAAATAATTGCGAACCTTGTGATCCGACTCTATCATATCGTCTATTGTTCTGCCTGGGCATAGATTGGGATCCATTACGTGAATGCATTTGATGAGGAGTGTTCATTCCCGAAGCGCCTAGAGTTCCCGCATGCGGGTGCGGGAACGTTTGGAACTGCATCGCTTTGCTGGGATCTATTTCTTCGCGGAACCCAAGCAGGTGGAAAGTGGCGTAAGGACAAATTTCATCATCCATGCCTTGAAATCGAAAGACAGATTTTTCTCATTACAACTAAAGCTAAAGGGGCCCAAATTGGTAGTTCACCTATCTCATTTGGCTTTGGTTTATTTTTGTTAGAGTGAAACGTTCGGGTTTAGCCTTGAAAATTCCAAACGATCATGTAACGAAATCAACAGCCACCAAACATGCACAAAATGCGTTTATAAAGAAGCTATAACATGGAACTTACTTTGTAACGTAGACTATAACATTGCTTCAGTTAGTACGTTAGTAACTAAGTTAAACAAGAAAGAAATAGAAATGAAAATTATTAAATGCAAATTTAACAATACAAATAATAACAAAAACATTAGTTCAGAAACTCTAAGAAGTTAGAACCAAACCAAGTTCGCGTAAATAATAAAAAGAAAACGTTTCTATTAATTGAAACAAAAATAAGTGAATGGCTTCCAAATCATTCAAAAAATAATGCATATCCTCCATTACCTCTGTGCGTGTGAACAGTTTCGTTTGAGCCACGCCTACTTCTCAACTCTTCATATAAATGACGCTGTCTGGGATCCCAAGTCGAATGAGAACGATAATGTGCCCCTAAATTTTTTAAATCATAAACATAAAAAAATCGGTCGCTAACAGGCCTGTCCCTTTTAAGGCAAAACACATGAAGAGAGCAAATAAAAGTCAAAATTCTACTTTTAGTTCACATAAGCAAGCAGAGTTTGAATTAACGGCAGAAAAAGGTGTGATGAGAGAATTCCTAAAATATTAATGCTCGAATTAATATTTATTTAATATGTTTTAATTTTGCACACTAGATTTTTCAAAGAAACTTCCACAGGCTACTGTACTATTTTTTACAAAACTTCTGGATTCATCCTGCGTCGGTTTTTGTTGAGTCGAACTTGCTGAAGTTTCGCCAATCATCCAAAAATCATCGGTTATCAACTCTCTTGTTTACAGAGCCGTAAAACTATCTCAGCCCGAGTCACTGAATCCATAATTAAAAAGCCTTACATCTGCTCTTTTCGCTAATAATTTCCACATTAAAGATATTAAACGTTCCATCACAAAATACACTTCACCACAACCTTCCAATAGCAATGAGGCCGAAAGCAATCCTACACTTGCCACTGTGGTCCCTCCTTACATTCAAAACATCACTGCCCACATATCAAAATTTCTAAAGAAGTATAACGTCAAAACCAGATTTACCACTTGTTTAAAAATCTCTTCAACATCTTCGGTCTGTCAAAGACAAAATTCCATTTGAGATGCCTGGAGTTTACAGCATTCCATGCATATGCGGCAAAGAATACATTGGAGACACTGGACGAAAAGTATCAACTAGGCTCAAAGAACATGAAAAAGCCTTACGACTAAGACAAATAAACTCATCAGCTGTTGTCGAACACACTCATGAAACCGGACATAAAATTTTATTCGATAAAACTAAAATTCTTGCATGTAATCAGTTCTTCTACCAACAAAAAATCAGAGATTCTATAGAAATCTATAAACAACCTAACAACCTTAACCACGACTCAGGTCTCTACCTGTGACCAATATGGGAATCAGTCATCTGAGACGGTGTTTATGCCCCTCATTTAGCTCCGCCCCCTCAAATGATATATAAGCAGGTACAGAGTAAAATACGAGTCAGTTTCAGTCAAGCTCTGAAGAAGCCAACAGGATGATTGACGAAACATCAGCAAGTTCTACTTAGCAAAAACTGATGCAGGAGGAATCCAGAAGTTTTGTAAAAAGTATTACAGTAGAGAAAGTTTAAAACACCAGCATTAACTATAAAATTTCTCTCACTTAAAAATAGTTTTGCATTAACAGTAGTGATGATTTTAACGTAAACTCTAAGGAAATAATAAATATTTGCATGCTAAAAAGCAATATATGATCTTACTTAACGCGGTACCTCGTTTAATCCTGTCGCACGTATTGTAATTGGATCCGGGAACTGGAGGGAGCTTCCTATTGGGTGGAGCAATGTATCCAAGTTCGTCACGCAAGTCTGGCCTTCGTTTGTCCAAAGTAGATGCGGCGTTACATGATTGATTGTAAACAACGTCATCTAAATGGAATAACGAATGTTAGTTGACCGATGAAAAAAATCTAATTCTGGTTCGAGCTCCAATGCATGTAGGAGAACTAGAGGTAGGAATCAAACGAAAAAAAAAATTTTCCTAGTTACGAGTTTTCGAGGATAGCCTAATTTTTAATGTTTCTTAAGTAAATCTAAAATAGCTCCCACCTCGTGTCTCTTACATGCACGAGAATATTGAAATGGATGAATTTTTAAAAAATGAGCTGCGAAAAAATAAAAAATAAATTTTTATACAAATACATGTGTCCTTAAACTAAAAATACTATTCCCCTTACACAATTTTATGTGATGTTGAGATTGTGGAATTATCATTCGAAAATTTGTTTTGTATTTCTTTTCTTAAGAACATACCGTCCACGTACATCATTTTAAACGACTACTCGAAATGAAGTCATCTGGGTTGTTGTTGCAACTGCACTCTGAATTCAAAAATATTTTGATAGGTCTCACTTTTTTTTTTAATCAGCTGTGCGGCTAAAAGTGAACAGTTTTTTTTAATTAACGAATATAGAAGCTTGATTCATACTTAAAAAAATAATCAGTCTTGTAGCAAATAATTTGTTTGATCATTAACTGTGGACCAGTATATTCTTAAATAAATTTATTGATCACAATTTGGGAACGACATAAAAATTTAAAAATGGACGAAAAAAATCTGATTATAAAAAGGAGGAAGATAAAGGTACATTGTTAATATTATAACGGCCGTATTTTTTCCTAAGAAGTTGGCAACGTCGCACTAACATTCAAAACACTCCACATTTATCGAAAGAATCGTAATATGCAAAAATATTTCAGGTGTTCCATTTTAAGACATTTATTTTTCTATTATTACTCTTGTATGAAACACCTAATTGAGAATGTTTTTTCATTTTATCTCTTCGGTTTTTGCAAGAGTGATAAATCAGTGCCTTCCCACTATTGCGCCACCCTGTGTTTAGTTTTACTACTAATAGCTATCCGGATGTTGTAACGGGTCCTCTTCCTTCTCTGCGCCTTTTTCTATATTCATTCCAGTCTCAGAATAAAACAAAACAAAAGTATGAGCGATGAAAGAAAGTGATTCCATACACATACAATCGCTGCGCAGTCTAGTTTGCAACGGTCCGTGAGCTTTCCTCGACAAGGCGACACAAACAACAACAATTCCTACTACAACGACCACAACCGTCGCGGCCACAGGCACCGCAATATTCCATTCGACCCAATCGGGAATCCAGGGAAACAACATTTTAACACCAGGCAGATCCCGGGCAGGCGCGATGGTACCTAGAATCAACAATTTACCTTTGTTATAGTTTCCTTTGCCGCGCAATACGCAAATCACGATAATTGCAACGATTATGACGAGCACGGCAGCCACTACGGGAACTACTAGGTTTAGGTTGGCGAGGATTATTTGTATGGTGTCCTCTTTGGGGATTTCACGAGCCGGGGCAATAGTACCTGAAACCAAAACACAAGGGGGTGTTCTCATGGGATTTTGCAATCATTCCACTACTTCGAAAATGTGACCGTGTGATTGGGAGTTGCTTAGTTTGTCATTAAAAGAGGAGCTTGAGCAAGGCTAGCGATCCATTCGTTGGTGGCTCTTGCACAAATGAAGTTTTGTTTTCGCTATTATCTCGTTCTTAGGAGTATAACCCTACAACACTGCACAGCTAACGAGTCGTTAATACGGTCGTGCACATGCTCATTAACGACATTTTTATACCAATTTTCAGAGAAGATTATTTTTCCCTTCTGTGTTAGTAAAGAACTAAGCAAAACTTCCTTATCTCTTTTTACATAGTTTCAAGCCTGATATAAACTATTCATATTGTCCAATTAATGTTCAAATTGTCAAGGATCGCAGATTTTTAATATTCAAAAATATTAAAATGGCGAATTATTAGCAGATTTACGTCGTGAAAAATCAGAACGGATTCAAAGTTAAGTCTCGTAATGACTTATAGCCACCAACTTTTGACTAGTTTTCAGATATTTAGGAACAGTAGTAACAAATAATGGAAAATCTCCTCATCAGCAAAATAGGAAATCATTTTAGGAGGTACATTTTGTTTAAGGGAGGAAGGAATTTTGCTTCCTGCTTAACAATTCCCATAAAAATAGATCTATAAAATAAATTGCATAGTACTCCTATAGCAGGCAAAATATTCACGAATGAACCGACTTTTTTCTAAACATCGAAAAAAAAACATGTGTTCCTCTAAAACATTCTTTTCAACTTTACCACAAGGCAACCGACATGCACAAATGTGGCAAGTCAATAATCATATATAATTAAAGAAATAAGGAGAAACTAACCAAAGAAACAACCACGACAACGACGGGTTGTCTGCTAGATCGCAAAAAACACACAGAACAAACAGAAACGATGAATTTATGTTTTTGCGTGAACAGTGTTGATAGGACATAATTATAAATCAACGAAAATGCCTGCGCGACCGTAGACATTTGCAGCGCTATGTATTATATGAATCAGGTACTATTGCTTTGAGACGCAAGCACGATCTTGATACCGAAGAAGCGGATCGATCAAATCATTCACATCGTAAGAGTGTATATGTACAATAATGGTGAACGGTTATAAAACAAGTGCTGCAAACAAACAAAAATTATAATAACCGACACACGGAATTCCGTCAGTTTAATTGAATAAAAAAATAAAAAGACAAGCAGGAATGCATGACCACACAGATATAACACAAACGGAGAGCTTACCTCCTGTAACTGTCAAAGTTGCGAATTCGTATTCGGCCACGTTAAATCCGGCATTGTTGTGAGCGGTGACCCTCAAATGGTACCAAACCGCGGCATCTAAATCTAAAAGCACGAAATTCTGACCTGGTTTTGCGTTATTGGAAACTTGGATCCATTCGGCGTTAGTTCTGAAAAATCAGACACCATTAGTTAAAACTGTTAGAATTATTGCTACGTTATCTTACTTCTTTTTGTGCTCAATGACGAAGTACAGCATCGGACATCCGCCATCGGACCACGCACCTAGGTGCAAGGTGATACTGTTCGATGATACTTCGATAAATTTGTCCGCGCTAGGGACAATTGGCTTTTCCCCCCTTGTTTTGGGGTTGAGATTGTCTGACGCGTCACCAGTGCCGATACTGAAAGAAAAAATCGTATCTATAGATAAAACAATCCAGCGTTCTCTTGAAAAGGAAATCCAATCTAAATCAAAAATATAATTGAAAAAAAAGCGTGATACCTTCAGAAAGAGCTTTACCTGTTTGAGGGAAGCAACCACCTCAGCCCCAGTAGCAAACCAAAGACAAGATAGACAACAAATGATGTTCTATATGATGTAATTATAAAATGTCGGGAAAAAAGAGAAACAGTATAAAAAGCTGTAAAATTTAAAAACTACGTAGGTGACATACTTTTTGTGATCAATTACTCTCAGAAACCTACTGAAAGAACATGTATGTATGTATGAACGGGTATTCCATTCCTAAGCGAAACTACTAAATGCTTAAACTAATTTAACTTAACAATTAAACTTTGACGACTAAATTATAATACTAGTGTCACTGTTACAAAACTTTAATTCCACATTGGACTAAAAACGATCTTACATGTGATTAAATGCCTAATATCTTTTATTTTGCACAATTTCCTAAAGTTGGGGAAAAATAAATTAAGCTTCGTCATGCTCTGGTAACATTATTTGTATGCAGGAAAACTTATAGGAAAATTATAGGAATATTATGTTACTCGATAATATAATTTGTGAGAAATTTGAGCTCAGTTACTCCAAATAAGGCAATATTTTGTTTTAAAATTTCAAATTATTGGACTAAAAACTGTAAACAGGCCTTATTCCTATGTTTTGCTTGTTTTTTTTTATTATAATTATTTTGTTTTTATAATAATGATAATAATATTATTTCCAATAATCAACAAGTCAATAATTATTATATTTTTATTGAGAACATTCTCGGGAATCATTTTCAATACAAATTTATATAAATTTTTCCACTTACCCGTTATAAGCCGTTACATACAACTGATATCTTGTGCCACAAAGCAACTTCTCCAAAGTATATTTGTCGGTAGCAGGTCCAACCTGGACCGTTTCCCAGTCACCAAATTCCGGTTTATAATGAATGGTGTAACCGTGAATTTGATCTTCGTCAGATTCATGAGGTTTGATTTTAATCGTTAGAGAATTTGTTGTTGTGGAAATAAGAATAACTTGCGGCGCTCGTGGGGGAGCGTTTACGATCAATTGATGAGTTACAGAATCTTGCCCAAAATCATTCTCAACTCGGCAGGAATATTCGCCTGCATCGGTTCTGGTAACGTCTCGGATGAATAGGGAACCATCTGGCTGCTGCCTCATCCTGTCATTAGAGTTTACATTAAATTTGATACCCTTGATGGTCCAGGTGATTACTGGCGGTGGAACGCCAACAGCTAAGCAAGGCAAAGTAACATCTTCCTTGTAAGTGGTAGTAAAAGTATCATCAAAGGATGCGGTTTTAGCAGGTACTGAGAAAGAAATTCCAAATTATAGAAAATCAGCAATTTCAAGGGTTAAACATACCGCTGGTGCTGGGCGATACAACGACTTTCTTGGATGGCTGACCTTCACCGATAGTAGTAGCGGCAGTTACCCAAAATTCGTATTTCAAGGCACTATCCAGGTTCTTCGCTTGGAAACTTAAGTTCTGATTTCTAATATTGGGCACGATTTTTTGAGATTTTGGTTTTTCGTCGCCATTGCCAGATTCCTTGTAATAAACCATGTAATATTCGATGATGCCGTTCGGTTCTACCGGTGGTTTCCAACTGGCAAGGATCGAATCAGACGACATTACGAGTGCTTTCACTGCGATCGGGGCTTCCGGTACTAAAATCATATATCCAGTTACCTCATCTCATATTGATAACTTTGTGCTACCATACCATCTTGTTCAGTTTGGCAAGCAATTGGCGGAGTTCTTACTCCATCGCCTCCCGATGTGTATGCCAAGACTTCCATGCTGTAATTTGTAAATTTCTTCAAACCGTGCAGTATAGTTTCGCTGGATGCTGTTATCTTGGTGTCCTTGGTATTTTCATCTATAACGAGAACAAATTATTTCAATTCGCAAAACGCAATTGCGCATCACCAACCGAACCAAGAGTCGGATGGCCCGTAGATAACTTTGTAGCCCTTGATGATCCCATTAGCGGCAGTGAGTGGGGGTGACACCCAGGAAACTCTGATTGTCTGAGCGGTTAAAGTGGTGCAGGTGGCCTTGTCTGGGGGTTGTTCTGGAACGCCTTCAGCGGTGGTCGCTTTGATTTCTTCAGAAGTGGGACCAGCACCTACTTTATTAAAAGCCTGCACGACAACTGAATATTGAGTGTAAGTCTTCAAGTTAGATATCTAAAACGTCAACATTTAAAATAACTGAAAGCAACGCAATAAATCCATGTAACACCTTCAGATAGTGCTCCTTATTTTCTTCCTCCCTTGGAAATTCGACAGTCTCAAACAAGTAAGGTTTGTCGGTATTAGCCAGTTTGTATCCCACATAGTACCCTTGAATGTCCCCATTCCAGTGATCTCTGAGAGGCGGTTTCCAGTAAACTACTAGGGAATGTTGATCTTCTGCGTCGACCCTGATATTTGTTGGTGGACCCCCGGGAACTTCTTCGGCGGTGATAATGGTAACAGTGTCTGATGGTTCGGACGATCCGATTTCATTCTCGGCAACTATGCGGATATGGTAAGTGGTGGCAGGACGCAATGTAAAAATACCAGCCTCAGTTTGGTCACCGGGTATCAACACCCTTTCGGAATTCTTTTCCCAACTACCTTTGCTTGGTTTATATTCAATAATATACCTAAAACACAAATATATACATTATGTGTACCTAAAATAGTCTTAAGTATGGTATTTTCAGTGCTTATTTATATATTATTTTTATTTAATAAATCTATAATTAATTTAATTACAATTTGACTGTAAACAGTAAGTTTGGAGCAAATAACTATAATAAATGGTTTTTATTTACTTCTTAATGGGGGAATTTCCGTCATACGGGGCTACCCAAGACAACTGCACCGTTTTCCCTGATTTGTCTAAAACTTTTAGACCGTAAGGCACTTCGGGTACTTCCTGAACGATCATGTTAATGTTGGTATCGTCACTTCCGAAAGCGTTGGTGGCGACGCAGGTGAAAAGGGCCGAATCGATTCTTTCAGTTCTCTTGATGCTCAAGTCCGACAAAACCCCATTGGGCAATATTTCTTCGCGGATCGTATAACGGTTATCACCCTTGGGTTCGAGACGTTTATTGTTGATATTCCACAAAATGCCAATCGGTTTTTCTCCTTTCGCTTCGCACTGCAGTACAGCAGGATCTCCGCGCCTTGAGGTTTGGTTACGGAATTTGACTTCAAATTGGGGAGGTGCTAAAACCGTCAAAGGTTTTATAAATGACTTATTTGCGTCCCCGCACTGCGACTTACCTTGAACGCTGATGAAAACCACTGCAGACAGACCAGACCCTATTCCGTTAACTGCCTCGCATAAATAATAACCTTCATTTGTTTTCTGGATATTGTTTATAACCAAAGTACCGTCCTCTACTTTTATGTCTGGGTCGTTTTGTTTAAAGTCTTTGTAATCGCCAGGCGACACCCCTACAGAAATACAATTATAGTCGTATTATCATGGAAAATAATGGTACTTGGAATTTACCTGTAGCCTTTTTCCAAGTAACGACAGGTTTGGGGAAGCCGTCGGCTTTACATTCTACGGCAGCATCTGAGCCTTGAGCAAAAGCTTTATCAGTCGGCTCTAATATCCACCTTGGTGGTACTAAAAGTGAAACGTCACTTGTAACAACGTGTTTTTTATCCGATATTTGAATTTACGCATGCAGACGTCAAGCAGATGTTGAATAGTTTGTTGATATTGAAAGTTAAAACGCTTTAAAATTTGCAATTTGCATTTGCGGATAAGTAAAAAGTGAATCCAACAAACTATCCAAGTGTGGAAGAGTCAGTATCATCAAAGTACTGTACTGGTAGGTAGATGTTCAAAGCTATCGATGAATCAAACCGCCAGCGTCTAGTATCCGAGGAAGAAGTGAATGAACAGAGCAAGTAAGTAATTAAAATTTTTAATTAATATGACATTTATTTCAGGTAGCATAAAATGTAGAATAATACATGCAAATTAGTAAATCCTTTTTTTTCTTCTATAGTTCAATTTGGCAATTTTGTCTCGGCAGAAGATTCTGACTCGATCACACACAACAGAAAAATCAGAAGTTTGTAGAACACCAAGAAGTGCTTTCGGCTAAGACAAGAATTTTAGTGATGCTCGTTCAATGTATTCGAAATAACTTATATAGCGTCCTTTGGCAAATTTTCTGGCAAGTGGTTACACCAAAAAATTAGTTAAACATGTTTAGAATGTCGATCAAGATGCGGATTTGATTCAAGTTTTCGATTTATTTTGCACCACAGCTCTAGCTGACGCGCACAGTTTTTGCTTATTACATGTTATTTGGTATTCGAAAATATAGAAAAACTCATTAAAAATTTATATGTCGATCATAGTTTGATGAGAATAGATTTTTAATTCTTTGTTAATTCCGGATAAAATCTGGCACTGTTCATGTAAAATATCTAGAAAAATGCTCAAAAACAAGCGATTTATTACAACCTTCTGATATTTCTGCCTTTTTTTACTGAACAGAAACTTAAAAAGTATCAGCAACTCGGAAGAACAATAAAAAATTACAGCTTTCAGAAAAACGAGTAATAATTGTTGATACTTCTTATTACTAACGAGATTCTGGAAAACAGTTTTAGTCGCTTTAGTCTACCAAAGTCTCGCTAGCTGTTCGCGAAAACGAAATGGATGTGAAACATAAACCGCATGCAAGGAGGGGATGGCAAATGTGCAAGGAATTGGATAACGGGAGACCCTAACCAAAATTCCCAGCATTGGGGCGGGACCGATCGGGAAGGGCATAGGTTCGTATGCTGGGAACGTTTTCAGTCGATTTTAAACTTGTTAACACTCAGTGCAAAAGTAGAAACCGGTGTGTAATCAGACGAGAAAATTAAATTACATCATTCTTCAAATAAATCTGTTGCGAGAGACGAACGGAAGAATCGCACAAGAACCACAGATTTATTCAAGAAGTTCGGTTAGCTGAACGTAAAAGAGATCCCATAACGGAAAGAATACCATAAACGTTCAAAGGCGCCGTATACGATGCGGATCCAGCGACATTTCGAGAATGACAGGTGTAATTTCCGGCGTTCTCTTCGGAAACCGAATCTATAAGGAGCAAACTAGCCTTTTGACCGACTTTCATTGCACTTATGCCACTGATAACGGTTAAGGGGTTCTCGTTGAAGCTCCAAGATATTTCCAAGGGTAAATCGCCTTCAGAAATCAAACAGGTCACTTGGGTAGCGTGATTGGTGTAGATGGGTGTGTTGCCGAAATTGAACGGCACGATATGAGGCGTTACTGAAATAAAAAACATAATTCGAAACGTCCGAACCGCGAAGTGATGGATTTGGGGGTCGTTTTAAGGAAACTGGAGCTGAGACACGCGATAATCGTAGTGATAAGGTGCATTAACCATTTACTTGCAGTGTGGCAACATAGGAGGAGTCTCCGGCGAGATTTTTAGCGTGGCAGCTGAAATTCCCGACTATGGCGTAGGATACCGATTCGATAGTCAAGATCGAACTCCTTTTGCCGACTTTCGATACCGAAATTTCCGCATAGGTGTCGATATCTTCGCCGTTTAACTTCCACTCTATCGTAATCGGTAAGTCACCTTCAGACACGATACAATTGATTTGAGCGTATTGACCGGCGTGAAGCGGATTGTCTTCAAAGTAGAACGGTGTGATCCTGGGAGACACTTTAACATTGTACAGGATTAAAATTGTGCCGATTATGTAAAGAGAAAAATAGCGAGCGGAAACATAAAACGGAAATAACACAAACGTGTATTGAAATCTAAACTAACACATCCTAATGTACCGTTAACGCGCAAGTAAGCGGAGTATCTGGCCACTCCTGCGGGATTTTTCGCCGCGCACACATACTCTCCACTATGAAAATAATCAACGTCTTCGATGTTTAGCTGGGCAATGCGTTTGCTAGTGCGTACTATACTGATCCCTTGCGAAGGGTCGACGGATTTACCATTAAAAGTCCACTTTATCCCGATGGGAAGGTCTCCTTTGGTCACCGTACAAGATACAGACACCATCTCGCCAGAGTTTACCGGCTCCTCGCCAAAATCAAATGGGGCGATTTGGGGAGGTACTGCAAGGAGGACGGAGGATGTCATGATTTTGTGAGCGGAAAATGCGAGTTAAACAAGTGATGCACTAAATAACCATTAACTTGCAGTTCTGACGTCAGCGCGGTTTCTCCCGCCCTGTTTGCGGCCCTGCACGTGTAGTTTCCCGCATGGGCGTATGTAACCGAGTCTATGACTAGGACCGAACTCTGTTTTCCGACTTTAAATGGAGTAATGCCTAGGAACTCGTCAAAATCCTGATCGTTTAACTGCCAACTAATTTGCAAGGGTAGGTCGCCTTCCGAAACGAGGCACATCGCTTGAACTGACTGCCCCTCGTGGGCTGGTTCGGTACCAAAGTCAAACGGAGCTATTTGAGGTGCAACTAAGAAAGAAAAATCGCATAGTGAACCATGAGTCTTTTGGAAAATGTAAAGGATATGGTGGCTGACAAAAAATTAAACGAATAAACAATCTGCATGCACATTTACGAACCATTCACCGTCAGGTTGGCAGAATAAATCGCCCTCCCAGCAGGATTTTTAGCCAAACAAGAATACATCCCCATGTGGTCGTACGATATGGACTCTATAGACAATACCGAACCTCGTCGTCCGGCGGAAGAGACAGATATTTCGGGAAACAGTGGCAGTTCTTGACTATTAAATAGCCACTCGATTTGGATGGGTAAATCGCCTTCTTTGGCGGTGCACGTCACTTGCAAGAACTCTCCCGAATTTACGGGGTCCTGACCAAAATCGAACGGTATGATTTGCGGGGACACTGGAAAGGTTGAAATGATCGGGAATCAGATTTGATACGTAAACGCGTGCAAACACAAAAATGGAGGCACCCTTGACGCGAAGTTCGGCCGTGAAATCCGCCTCTCCTGCGAAGTTCTTCGCGTGGCAGGTGTAATTTCCAGCGTGGCTATGAGATACGGATTCTATCGAAAGGAGAGATATTCTTTTCCCCACAGGTGTAGTGGCAATTTCAGGAAAAATTTCTAGTTTGTTTCCATTTAAAAACCACGTAATGTTTAACGGAATGTCACCTTCGGATACGGTACAAGTCGCCTGAACAAACTGACCAGCATGTACCACACCATCTCCCATTTCGAATGGCGAAATCTGAGGTAAGACTATAAAAATAGAAACATAGATTGATTACGAACAGCATTGCCACTTCTAACATTTTTCATCAAGCAACACCCAAAGAAACAAAACTTTCCACCGTTGTTGATGCGAACTGGATCTATGAGTTTTGGGGACAAAGTGTTGGGTTTGCCTTTAAACTTTTACATGCGAAGTACCCTTTACTATCAATTCCGCCGAATAACTGGCTACTCCCGCCCTGTTTGTAGCAATGCAAGTGTAGTTTCCTGCATGTTCCTCGCTTATGTTATCTATATTTAAAACTGACACCTTCTTCCCGAAAGGGGCAACGTTGACGTTCTCGGTTTGATGCGTGGGTCGTCCATTGAAGAGCCACGAAAAAACAACTGGCAAATCTCCCGTAGAAATTGTACATTGTACAGTAACGGTTTCGTCTGTAGATGACGGATCGGTACCAAAGCTAAAGGGATGGATTTTAGGCGCAACTGGAAAGCAAGCAATTTATGTACCACCGATATAAAAGACCCCATGCAAATAACATGAAATTATTAGATACCCTTCACAGATAATTTTGCTGTGTGGCTCGAAATTCCGGCTCTGTTAGAAGCCAAACACGTATAATTGCCAGCATGGTCTTCGCCAACACTATCTATGCTCAGAACGGATGTTCTTTTGCCGAAAAGGGCCACGTTTATGTCAAAATATTCGTCCACTGATCGACCGTTCAACAACCACGAGAAAGACAACGGCAGATCTCCTTTGCTCACATAGCACTGAAGTTGAATGTTATCGCCGGTATTAGCGTCTTCGTCGAAAGAAAATGGAGATATATGTGGCAGCACTATGAAAAAGTCAAAGGGTACAGCGTTTTTTATGGTGCGGGGGATATTTGTAGGAGGACAAGGTTACAACTAAATGTTCTTGCACACAAATGACTATCTTTGTACCGTTGACGTGTAAGTCTGCAGAGTACATAGCTCTGCCGGCTGCATTTTCAGCTACGCAGGTATAAGTGCCGGTATGTTCGGCTTGCACGGAATCAATACTTAGCGTGCTGAGCTTCTTAGCCACTCTAGAAACCATAACTCCATATAAGTCGGACATTAAAGAAATGTTATTATGACGCCACATTATGGTCATGGGAAGATCGCCCTTACTTATAGAACAGGTCAACGAAGCCGAATCTCCGGAATTGACTGACTCTTCGCCGAATTCGAAATGAAGTATTTGCGGGGCAACTAAAATTGGAAACAGGAGAGACCCATGTTGAACTACACTATAAACTATAGTTTTCTTAGTTCAAAAACTCGAAGCATGTTCTTGCCGTTTAAGGGTATCATGGGAAATCGTAGGAAGTATCGCATGCACTTTCAAAAGTCGTTTAAATACCATTTACGTGTAGTTCTGTTGAAAAGGTAGCCTTCCCGGCACTGTTTTCAGCCAAGCAGGTGTAAATGCCAGCATGAGCTTCGGTAACGGAGTCGATAGAAACGGAGCTAGCTTTTTTACCAACTTTGGTAACTTGGACACCCTCGATGTAACCTATGCTAATGTTGTTATGCAACCAAGCTATATTAATCGGCAAGTCTCCCTTGTGTACGGAACACTGCACAGATGCATAATCCCCAAAGTTAATGGACTCATCACTGAAGTCGAATGGAGAAATTTGAGGTGGAACTGGAAAATTGATCAAGACCAAGGTGATTTGCTGATTAGAGATGACAGGAATACATCTTAAGTAAACTGCAGTGAAGAGGTATATAAGTTTTGGCATTTAAGGGTTGGGATGGGATTGACAATGAGTGAAAACCGGATTCAAAGGCCACTGTACCATTAACGTGTAGGTCCGTGGTGAACATATTAATTCCGGCACCATTTTGTGCGATGCAGGTGTAATTTCCTGAATGTCTTTCGTTGACATCGTCAATGGACAGCGCACTAACCTTTTTGTGCAGCTGTATAAAAAGGCCTTCAATATCCCCAATAGGACTTCCGTTTTGCAACCAAGTTATGTTTACAGGTAAATCTCCTTTGTAAACGGTACATGTAGCCGATGCTACATCACCGGCGTTAATTGTGGGCTCTCCAAAAGCGAATGGTAAAATTTGGGGAGGAACTGAAAGGTAACGCGTTCCATAATTTATACAACTTAAAACATTGAAAAGATTTAAAAATCATTCGTTTCAAAAAATCACCGGTTTCTTTGATCATCGTTCAAGTGGATAGTTTGAATAATCTGGCAATTATGGGGGGATGATAACTAGTATAATTGAAAGGATCCATCATGCTCTTTCTTAAGACCAATCGCGGGACAAATCAAATTCGACAATACCATTAACATTCAATTTGGCAGAAAAGTGGGCTTTTCCAGCTTTATTTTCGACGACGCAGCTATAGCTTCCCGCGTGGTTCTCAGTCACGGAATCTATTGTCAAAGCGCAAACTTTTTGGCCAGCATGGGTAATCATGATGCCTTCGGCATTACGAATACTAACATTATTATGCAGCCATGTTATATCCATCGGTAAATCTCCTTTATGAACTGAGCACGTTAAAGAAGCTAAATCGCCAGAATTTACAGACGTCTCGCCGAAATCAAACGGAATAATTTGAGGAGGCACTGAAATAGAACCACCACTTAAAAGGGACACTTAGTTAATGGAAAAGGCGAGAAAAATTAATATGGGATGAGGAAAGTATTAAAAATGCTTATAAATAGTTCCGAATAATATTACCATTGACATTTAAAGTGGCCGAGAAACTAGTTACACCTGCTTTGTTTTCAGCAATGCAAGTGTAAGTTCCTACGTGAGTTTCGCTGACTGAATCTATAGTTATAGTGCTGACTTTCTTCCCTACGTTTCCTATCATAATACCTTGTACGTATCCAACACTTATATTATTATGTAACCAAGAAATATTGATGGGTAAATCTCCTTTATGTACGGAACAACTAAGTGATGCAAAGTCACCAGAATTCACGGATTCCTCGCCAAAATCAAATGGCAATATTTGCGGAGCGACTAAAATAAAATTTACGTATCCAACACTAATATTGTTATGATCAAGATAAATTTCCTTTATGTACCGAACAACTAAGTGATGCAAAGTCACCAGAATTCACCAACTCCTCGTCAAAATCAAATGGTAATATTTGCGGAGCGACTGAAATCAAATTTGCGACTTTACCATAAACCAGATTCTTCCCAAAATGTGAACATCTGAATTGACGCTTGAAGTGACTAGAAGCAAATATCCCCGCCTTATATTCTTATACCTATACTACAAAACTGAAAGGTAAAATTTGAAGCGGAACTGTAAAGGAGGGTGCAGTGAGTTAATGAGTCTAGGATGAGGCCCATGTAAAAAAAAATCATCACACATCGTTACCATTGACATTCAAAATTGCCGAAAAACTGGTCGCGCCAGCTTTGTTTTCAGCGACACAAGTATAAAGCCCTCGATGATGCTCGTTAACAGAATCAATCGTTATAGTGCTCACTTTTTTTCCTGCGTTGCTGATCATGATACCATTCACGTAACCGATGCTAATGTTATTGTGCAACCACGAAATATTAATTGGTAGGTCCCCTTTGTGCACTGAACACGTCAGCGAAGCGAAATCTCCAGAATTCACCAACTCCTCGCCAAAATCAAACGGCAAAATTTGTGGGGTTACTGGAAAAAAATGCCAGGATGTGAGAGTGGAAGGGGCGAATTTAAATTTAACCTTGACATTGCGTTATAAAATACCGTTAACGTTTAAAACCGCAGAATAACTAGTCGATCCAGCAATGTTCGTCGCCAGACAAGTGTACGATCCACTGTGCTCTTCGTTGACGGAATCGATAGTCAAAGAACTAACTTTGTTGCCATTTTGAAATACGGAAATTCCGTTATTAGTGTTGACTGATTGGTTCTGATGCAGCCATGTAATTGTAATCGGAAGATCTCCTTTGTGCACTGAGCAAGTTAAAGAAGCGAGATCGCCAGTGTTAGCTGATTCCTCTCCAAAATCGAAAGGTATGATATGGGGCGGAACTGTAAGTGCAATTCAAACAAATTACCCAAAAAAAACGAAAAAGCAGGCCCATGTGCAATGTAACTCCTACCACCATTTACCATTGACGTTCAGTTTTGCGGAATATCTCGATACCCCTGCCTTGTTTTCAGCCACGCAAGTGTACAAGCCTGAATGGCTTGCGTCAGCAGAGTCTATAGTTAGAGTGCTGACTTTCTTGCCCGCGTTGGTGATCATGATCCCGTCAATATACCCTATGCTTATATTGTTATGCAACCACGAAATGTTTATGGGTTTATGTACCGAACAAATTGACGAAGCCAAATCCCCAGAATTTACGGAATCTTCACCGAAATCGAATGGCAAAATTTGCGGAGGTACTAGAACGATAAACGCATCATGTTTACCCAATAGAATCTAATATGACGAGGAATGGATCAACTGGGACAAAATTTTACATGCAGCGTGAAGTATATACCGTTGACGTTCAATTTGGCAGAATAATAAGAAGATCCTGCTCTGTTTTCGGCAACGCATGTGAAAACGCCAGCGTGGTGTCCTTGTACGGAATCTATCGTTACGGTGCTCGCCTTTGTACCGACTTTAGTTACCAACACTCCGTCGATATAACCAATGCTGATGTTTTTGTGCAACCACGAAATATTAACAGGCAAATCGCCCTTGTTTATGCTGCATATAGCGGAAGTAGATTCGCCGGCGTTTATTGGGTCGTCCCCAAAATCGAAATGTATTATTTGAGGTGGTACTGAAATAAGAAACAGAGGCCCATGTTTGTTAGAGGGAGCAGGTTCGGGAAGGGTAGGGGGAAAAATGAAACTTTCAATACCCTTCACGTTTAAGGTTGCCGAATAGGTAGATTTGCCGGCAGAGTTTTCCGCGACGCAGGTGTAGGTCCCGGAGTGAATGGCCGCTACGGAATCGATGGTCAACGCGCTAACTTTTCTATTTGTTTGTCCCACAGTGACACCATGGATTAAAGTGGCAGGAGTGTTATCGAAATACCAAGAAATGTTAAGGGGAAAGTCTCCCTTTGTGATGGCGCACATGGCGCTGACTAGTTCACCGGAAAATACGCTCTCTTCGCCGAAATCAAAGGGATGTATTTGAGGAGGTACTGCAAAATTATACTTTCAATGAACAAAAGGAAAAACGGGGTTCAGGACTGTTATTAAATAAATGCATTGTTAGATACCCTTAACATTTAAATAAGCGGAAAAACTAGATTCTCCGGCTGAGTTGTTGGCGAAACAGGTATATTTTCCAGAATTCGATTCCGCGACCGAGTCGATAGTTAAAGTGCTGACTTTTTTATTGGTTTGCCCGGTGGTGATTCCGTAAGAGTGGGAGGCCGGTTTTCCATTGAAAAGCCAAGATATGGTCAACGGAAAATCGCCTTTTGTGACGGCGCACACTGCGCTGACCAATTCCCCGGAAAACACACTGTCGTCGCCAAAATCAAACGGATGCACCTGCGGAGCCACTAAAAGTCAACGGCAAAATCAAGGATATGGGAAAGAAAACGTTAGCTAATGCTGGAAAGTAAGCTTTTTAGGTACCCTTAACATTCAAAACTGCCGAATACTTAGATTCCCCCGCCAGGTTTCTTGCAATGCAGGCGAATAGTCCCGAATGTATTTCAGCCACCGACTCGATGGTTAACGTGCTAACTTTTTTGTTCATTTGCCCCACAGTGACACCGTGAATAGAAGTGGCTGATTCGTTATTAAAAGTCCACGTGATATTTAAGGGAAAATCTCCTTTTGTAACTGCACACGTAGCGCTAACAAGCTCCCCGGAAAAAATACTATCTTCGCCAAAATCGAAGGGATGAATCTGTGGAGGTACTAAAAATTTTAAAGGCTTTGTTTAAAAATGAAAATATACCCTTAACGTTCAATATCGCGGAGTAACTAGACTTTCCCGCTGGATTTTCGGCGATACACAAAAACTCTCCCGAATGTATCTCGGAAACCGATTCTATGCTTAAAGTGGACATTTTTGGGTTTAGCTGGCCCACCGTGGTGCCGTGTAGAGAATCGATAGGCTCGTTGTTGAAAAACCAAATGATTTTCAAAGGAAGGTCGCCTTTGGTAACGGCGCACGTAGTCGTTACGAGTTCGCCAGAAAAGACGCTTTCTGACCCAAAGTCAAAGGGGTGAATTTGAGGAGGTACTGTAAAGTAAACGAAGGGTTAAGGCTACTTATCCGACTTTATCCATTAAAATAAAACTGTTATACATGTACCGTTGACGTTCAAAATAGCCCAATAGCTGGACCTCCCGGCAGAATTTTCAGCAGTACACTCGTACGTTCCGGAATGAATATGAGTTGCAGAGTCGATGCTAAGAGAGCTAATTCTTTTATTGTATTGACCCACATTGATTCCGGGTAACACCTCAACAGTGCGATTATTAAACAACCAATGTATCTTTAAAGGCAGGTCTCCCTTAGCCACAGCACATTGAGTACTGGCCATATCACCAGAATTAACGACTTCCGTCCCGAAAGTAAAAGGAGTTATTTGCGGGGGAACTATAAACCAAAAATCAGACACTGGGTGTTAGCAATGAACTAAAATGATATCATATGCAACACCAACCGAAATTTAGTTGGACAAAAAAAATATTATGCTATTGTGCCGAAGAAAGGTTTGTGCAGTATTTTAATCAAACAATATACCTAGTCTATTGGTAGATCCTTCCATCCAGAAACGGTTGTGGGTTTGGGATAGGTACAAAAGAAAAAGAAAAATAACTAAAGCCGTTCAATAAGATCTACCATTGACGTCTAAATGAGCAATATATTTGGATTTTCCTGCCGCGTTAGTGGCAATACAAGCATAATCTCCTTTATGATGAGGCTCGATACTGGCAATATTGAGAATGCTTGCTTGACTGCCAAACACCGAGGTCGATATTCCTTTGGAATGATGCGTGACGTGTCTGTCGTTATGATACCATTTGATTTTGAGAGGTAGATCGCCCTTAGAAACGTAACAAGCCAGAACGGCATTATCGCCTGCATTTAGGGGCCCGTCAAATTGGAAGGGACTTATAACTGGTGCCACTGCAATGGGGACTACACATTAACACATGGGCCTCTCCTGTATACCACTCGACATGATGTGGCTAATAAAGCAGCTAAACTCTGTTAAAGAGAAAGCATGATGTACACTGCACCAAGAAAATAAAATCTTACCTGTTTAACATTACTAAATTGTGATTATTTTCCTGTAATAATGGTCACGATGTACTCGCCATTATTATATGCTAAACGAAATAAAAAAAAATTATTTGCCGCCAAAGTCTTTTGCATTGGGAAATAGCTCTTTTGTTACAAGTTTGTAGGAAATTTACCTTCTGGACAAATAAAAAGAAAAAAATGTGAATATTAAAAACTAATATTAATTATTTAAAAATATGGAATGTGCCTTGAAAAACTGAAATATTTTCTCATTCATTAAGCCAGAAATAATTTAAAAAAGACTTTGGCAGTATTTAAACTATGTTATTACAATATACACTTGCGCAATAATTTTAAGTAACAAATATTATATTTCACAAAACCGGTAATAAGAATAATAATGCAGAGTAAATAAATTTAATATTATCTAACGCAATTTCATCTAAGAAAAATAATTTCGCATTAATTTTAATAAAATTGTTTTCATATTAAATACAAGTGTACAATGTGCATAATACGCTTATAATCAATAATACCAAGCAACTTACCCATGACTTGTACTTCCAGAGACCCTCTCGCACTATAGCCCTGAGAATTCTTAGCTACACAAACATAAGTCGCTTGATCGGACGCCCTTTCAACATTTTCGATGATCAACGTTCCATTAGGGAACACCTTCTGTTTCCTATTAATTGGCAACAATCTTCCGTCTGAAATAATAAGCATATTTTCGTGTGATGGGATATTTAAAACTCCATCTTATAGAATTGAAAATATGCTCTCCAGACGCAAGAAATTGGTTAATTTTTGTTAGCTCATTGTAGTTTTGACATAGTAGATCTAAGCACCCACTTACCTCTTTCCCAAACAACAGTCTCCACTGGATGTCCAGCGAATGGACAGTGTACAATCAGGGTGCCTCCAGCAACAATTGCTTGCTTCTCCATGGACCTCACAAATGGTAATCCATAGACGTTAACACGAGCCGAATGATCCACACTACCCACTTTTGAACTTGCCACGCACCTATATAAACCACCATCATTTGTATGGATGCCCGTGATATTTAAATGCGACACTACGTCCCCGTTCACTGTAACATACTGCCCGATCTGATAACGATCACTATTGGACAATTTACGTCCGTAGAGTTCCCACGTGATTTCAGGAGTGGGATTTCCACTGGCGATACACTTCATGAACACGGAATTTCCTGGCTGTACGGTTTCTTCATTGAAGGCGTGTCGGATTTGTGGTGGCTCGAAACGACCCCCTAGCTTCAATTCTCCGGTAGCTTCTGCACTTTCTTGGTCGTTTCTAATGAAGCACTGGTACATTCCCTTGTCCTCCTTCCTTACCGCTTCTATCCTCAGAACAGCGTCGGTGTGGTCGATTTTGTTGCCGTCTTTCATCCACGAAATTGTCTTGATAGGATTACCTGCAAATCAAAAAGTAAATTGTAAAAATCACGAAGGCAAACGATAGATCATGGGTAACATCTCAAGCATTAATCAAGATTACAATTTTACCTTCGAATTTGCAGGAAAATACGGCAGGTCGGCCGAAATCGACCGTCTGAACTTTTGGTTCGATAGTCGCCTTAAGTGGCGCAGTCACGGTCAAAACGGTTTCGACGCTTTCTCCGCCTACAGAATTGTTAACCACGCAAAGATACTTTCCGGAATCTTCAACTTTTGCTTCTCTAATAATCAAGGTCCCGGCCACTTGCTTCACTCGGTCATTCAAAACTACTGCCTGTTTCCTTGACGTTCCGTCGATAAATTTGTACCACCTGTAACAAAGGAAATCGCGTTTAGCAATAAATATGACGATATGTTCGTTGCGGAATTACAAATTTTACCTAAACAAAGGCACTGGAAATGCTTGAGCAGGGCAGAGTGCCACTGCAGTTTCGTTCGCCCCTTTTACCCTAATATCAATTGTCCTCGTGGTCAAGCGAGGTCCAACTGAACCAGTGGGTTCTATAAAGCAGTAAATTTAGTTACTAACTTCAAATTTTTTTTGCAGATATGACAGAATATGGATATCAAATCCATGAAATTTATTGAGCTCTGAACCAAGCCACAGTTAATTACAGTGGCCAACATTATATGCCAGAATGAAATGTTAGTGTTATGTATCTATATAGAAATCCCATTATGCCAAATTTACTGAGAGGCGCTAAGGTACCTTTTTTTAGGAGCCGGAAAGGATTGGGCCTCGCACAATAGTGCGATGAGAGATTCATTTCTTATATTAACTTTCGTTAATCCGTCACCTGATATCCGTGGAGCTGTTTGTCCGGTGGGTTCTGAGTGGAAAGCGAAGTGAAATTAACTACTAGCACCTACCTGAACTTCGGAACAGGGTACCCTGTGACTTCGCACGTTATGACGATGTCTTTTTTAGACGCTATTTCTAATACAATACTTCCATCGATTTTTCTCCCGGAGGACTTAGGAGGGACATTATTTGTCGGTTCTACCAAGAAAGATCAGTGATATTATATAACATATTAGGACTGTCCCAACGTTGGGATAAGCATGACACCGAATATTTAGTACCTAAATTTGGGAACGGGAAATCCGGAAACATCACACGGCATCATAATGTCTTTGCCGAGCGGAGCGTCTTGAAAGATATCCCCTCCATACTTTCTTACGGATGATTTTGGGGAAATATTATTGGTCGGTTCTATAAATGCAAACGGCAGCGTTATGAATGGAGATAAAAACTTGTGTTGGGATAGGTTACAACTACATCGAGAAAGTGCACTTACTTAAAAACAGGCAGAGGGTACCCTACAACCGGACAGAGGACCACACCATCACTACCTTGAAGAAAGGTTGCGATTTTCCATGGCATTCTTTCTCCAACAATTTTAGGAGGTAAATTATTTGTCGGTTCTGAAATTGATGAAGGAAATTTCAAATGGATGAACAAACTTGGGCTCAATAACCATAACTAGAATCAATCAATATTATCAAACTTTCAGGTTTCTATTATTATTATGGGAGCAGTAACCCTTTGATAGGATATGGAAATGTTATTACCTTATCCTATAAAGAAAAAATAAGGACGAAATGTTTAAAGAGATAAACATATATTCAGGCCAACAAAACACTTCCATCACCTTCTTATCAACCAAAAGTTACTATGTATTACACAAAAAAGGAGTAGGTACCTAAACTTTGGAACAGGGAATCCAGAAACATCACACGGCATCATTACGTCTTTTCCGATCGGAGCATCTTGAAAGATTCCACCTCCGTATTTTCTAACAGATGATTTTGGAGCAACATTGTTTGTTGGTTCTGCACAAATGAGAATTGTCACTTTATCAAAGAACGCCTTATGAAGACGGAACGACAGCATAGAGCATTAACTACAACGCTATGTCTCTGACGCTACAAGCATACCAGTGCCCAAAATTACTTCAAACGAATTTACTCACAACGTGAACTTACAAAAATCTTGGTACTGGGTAGCCAGTAACCTGGCAAGGTAACCAAGCCGTATCGCGTTTGGCAACAAAAATAATTTTCCAACCTTCAAATTGTTCCCCGACCTTTTTCGGAGGTACATTGTTAGTCGGTTCTATAAAACACGAAACTTAAAAGCTAGAAAATATGGGACTTACAGATATCTTGGCACCGGAAACGCGGTAACCTGACAAGTCAACCAAGCGGTTCCATTTAAACCAATCTGTAGAACTTCCCAACCTTCGAACCTTTTACCATCCTTTTTTGGTGGTACATTATTTGTTGGTTCTATAAAACAAATTCTTATCCGTTATGCATTACCTATTGGAGCGAATTCTAAAGCGCCTTAAGACATTCGAAGAATCTGCCACCCCTCGCGAGATAAGGAGACATTTAAAATTATATCAATAAATGAGACTTACAAGAATCTTGGGACTGGGAACCCCGTAACTTGACAGGTTAGCCAAATTACATTATGTGTTGATACACTGAGAACTCTAAATCCGAATTCGGCACCCACTTTCTTGGGAGGCACATTGTTGGTAGGTTCTTACAAATACGAGAGCAAATTAGTAAAACCGAAACCTACCTGAACATTGGGACCGGGTATGCGACAATTGAGCACAAAATGAAAATATCCTTATTACTCTTTGACACTATCAGAGTGTAGCGAACTTTATTGTCTATTAATTTGGGTGATATGTTGCTGGTGGGTTCTGAAAAACCAGAGCGAGTCAGGAAGAATGTATTACCTGAATTTAGGAATGGGATACCCCATTACTTCGCAAGTTAGTGCGGATATGTGACTTTGAAATACGACGACAATTTTTCCGCCATCATATCTTTGCCCGGGCATTTTGGGGGCAATTTTTCCAGTGGGTTCTACAATACGGAGGGAAAAACTTAATGAACTAATTGAAACCAAAATCAGAACCTACATGCACGCATCTACGCACCTGAATATTGGTGTGGGCAACCCTTGGGCCGGGCACAACAAGGCAAAACTGGTACCCCTAGATCTTACAAAAGTGAAACTCTTTGAGTCTGAGGAAAATGTAGGTGCTTTCGACCCTACCGGTTCTATATAACACACCTTTGCATAAATATATATAAAAAACAAAACAATCCTTAAGCTAGTTGTACAAACTTACTTAAAATTTGGTTTGGGAAAGGCTTGCGCTGGACACAACAATGCAAAATTTATTCCCGAATTCCTGACCATTGTAAAAATTTTCGATTCCGACGAGAAAGCTGGAGCTTTCGATGCCACCGGTTCTACGTTGATATGAAACATGGTTAGTTAAAATAATAAGGAAAATTACCTAAATTTGGGAACAGGAAGCGCTTGAGCTGGGCAAAACAGAACAAATCCCTGTCCTTCCTTGATATCATATGAAGAGCTTTTTGAAGATGACGAAAACGTGGGTGCTCTGTACCCTACGGGCTCTACAAGAGTATGATATAAACAAAAATAATTTACCCGAGGGTTGGGACCTTGTACCAGACAGAATCATGAAAGGACAAAACCGTTAATCACAGTAAATCACAAATTATCACAGAAATATGGAATAAAAGTTACCTAAATTTGGGAATAGGGAGTGCTTGTGCGGCGCAAAGTAAAACAAAACCGCGACCTTCTCTAACCTCATAGGAGGAAATTTTCGAAAAGGAGGAGAATGACGGTGGCCTGACCCCAACGGGCTCTAGAAAAAAAGTTCAAGGTCATATCGTTTACCTGAATGTTGGAATCGGTAAGCCCTGAGCCGGACAAAGCATGGCAAAACTCTGACCTCGGCTTCTTTCATATCCCAACATGCGTATGTCAGTTGAAAATGTTGGTTTTTTATATCCCACTGGCTCTATACAGAAAATCGTCAACTTATCAGTAACCCTAACATTGAAACTTAAAAAACACCAGCACAACAGAAACGATGAGAACTAGATACCTGAATGACGGAACTGGGAATCCTTGAGCTTGACACAATATGGCAACATGCTGACCTGCATTTCTTTCTGCATACTTATATTTAGAATCGACTTGTGGAAGTTTCGGGACCCGAGATCCCAAGGGCTCTAGATTAATTCAAATAATCAGTTAAAGAGACGTTACCTGAACGAGGGGGTGGGGAAACCCTGAGCCTGACATAAAAGGGTCACACCATGTCCGGCATGCTTTTCGATAGTAGTACTTCTAACGTCGGACAGTAAGCTTGGTGCACGCGAACTGATCGGCTCTAAATAGGACCAAAAAAATTCTTTCTAACGTACCTGATGTTGGAAGTCGGGGAACCAATTGTAATGACTAAATTATAACAAAAATGTGTACCTAAATGTTGGCGCTGGGAAACCCTGCGCCTGGCACAATAGAGTGACGCCACTTCCTGCGTGCTTCTTAATGGCAGTACTCCAAACGTCTGACAACAGACTTGGTGCGCGAGAACTGATCGGTTCTAAGAAGTCTCCCATTAATTAGAGATAAATTGAAAGTACCTGAACATAGGAATGGGGGAGCCTTACGGTTGCTTTAACGTTATAGAAATAAATTTAGAAACTATTGGGGACATTACCTGAAGCTTGGGACTGGAAACCCTTGGACGGGACACGGCAGAGACAGTGTGGAACGCGCAACATATTCTATTACGTCGTACTTTGATTTTGACGATACTTTAGGCAACGTACTGCTTATGGGCTCTATATAAACAACGAAACATATCAAACGGAGTTAACACAAACAGATACCTGTAATTTGGCACTGGGAAAGATTGCGCGGGGCAAAACAACGACAACCTGCCATGTTCGACGCCGTCTAGCGTTTGAATTCTCGAACTACCCACTGTTAATCTGGGAGCAACGCTTCCAACTGGTTCTAATAGTAAAACATAGTCGTGAAGAGTCCATGCAAGCGACACGGAAACTTTACCTGAATTTGGGAATGGGAAATGCCTGCATCGGACACAACATGGTAAGAGCTTCGCGATCTTCCACGACAAGGTCTCTACTTGAATCTCCGGACGTTAACTTGGGACTTACAGTACCAATTGGTTCTAATGAGAAAGAACAAAGTCATTTTAGAAATACTGTGAAGGTTGGTAGGTACCCTTACTTGAGCGTACCTGAATTTTGGAGCCGGGAATGCTTGAGCGGGACAGAGAAGCGCTACGTCCTGGTCTTGCCCGTAATCGTCAATTGGAGGATATTTGGTTATCTTAGGAGCAACACTACCGACGGGCTCTATAAGAAGCACCAAGATAACGTTATCACCAATTTGGTGCATACCGATAGATCTGGCAAATATTACCTGTATGTGGGGGCAGGAAATGCTTGCGCAGGACACAGAAGAGTTATGCTATCGTTCAGCGATCCCTTAAAACTTCTCGAGTCGTCTAAGGTGGGAAACTTGGGCAAAACACTTGCAACAGGCTCTGATTCGAGAATGAGATGAAAACAAAAAATTAAATTACCTTGTTCTTGGAACCGGGAACCCCTGAGCTGGACATAATAGATTTAAAGTAGTTTGTTTCGAGTATAAATAATCTTTGCGGGTTTCCAGAGGGAACTTAGGAACCACCCTTCCTACTGGCTCTAGAATAAACCAGAATACCTTACAACGGCAGAAAACATTCACTTAAACAAGACTTACCTTTAAAATCGAGATATTCTGATTGTCCAACTCAGTAAAAATGGATCGGGTACCCAAACGTAACGTTTTAAAAAATGCATCGACTATTTCTGGGACTGGAGTCGGGATGAGGATGATTTGTCTTGGAAAGAAAGGACAGGTACTGTAACGAAATTATTTCTTTTGTAATGAATTTTAAGTGTCCGTATAAAAAGCAAGGGTACCCTATCCCAACATTCAGGTAAAATTTTTAAAATATCATCAAAAACACTGATGAAAAGTTTAAATTATGTTTTTCATCAAAGTTCTTGCTCAAGGCCAATCTAGAAGTCCGATTCTCAGGTTTACTGCTAGATTGTTCTTAAGAAAAATACCGACGGTGGTCAATCATATAGGACAAACCTACTACCTGTTGGAAGATTTTCTACACTACATCCAAATAAACTGAAGTCACAATAGGTAGTAAGTTTCTAAACGCCGTAGCTACTCCAAATCATTTTGCATCGATACGAATCATATTTGAATGTTCCAGACAATGACGAGTGTTGAATAGGTTTCTTGGGCTTCCGTTCTCTTTATTGTCTACTATGATAGTAAATTATAATCTTCATTAAAAGTTAAGAACCACCTTCTCCCTAGTTTGTTGCGTTTGGTTTTACAACTAGAGCGTGAGGAATTGACTTTTATAATCTTTATTATTTACTTTCATAACAAAAACAACAACAAAACAAAAAATTCGCTTAGGCTCCGCGCCATAAGTAAAATCTAAAAATCGCCATGCTTGTGCAAATAATGAATATGCTGGACCTACAATGTATGATATACTCAATTAAAATGTCGTTCCCCCCGCTAAATTAAACGAAATAAAAACAGAAAATATTAATGACCGGAAATACGTTAAACAAAGTTAATTACATTGTCACCAGTAGAGGGAAAAATTTTTAAAATTTATGCTACCTGACCCAAAAAAGGAAATAGCCAAAAACTATAGGGATTCTGGGTGGCTGATCATTTTCTATTATTTTAATACCAGGGGCGAGTCATTCTCTACGGGGTGGCCAAGGATGTTAATCAATATTTTCTATAGAATTTTCTTTACAATGTGAATTTTTAATTAAACAAACTTTTCAAACTATCGTATGTAACTTGGAATTTTGTTCAAAATTCGATTTGAAATTTTATTTATATAAATATTTTATATTTATATTTATATTTATTTAAATTTATTCATTCTATGACATACATTGTTGTTATGTATATTTAGTCATGAATGACTTTAGAAGTTCGCGTAGCACGGAAATAAATAAAAAAAATAAGATCTGATCTTATTTAAAATAACAAAAAAGTGTTTTTTTTTTCTAAATGCCATAAATATGACGAATATTTCCTACGGAGCTTTGAAGTTCTTGTTTCAAAAACCGATGTAGAGAAAATTTCAGATTTTTCCAAATATGTAATGGAATGTATACCAAATAGATGATAGCATTAAAATTCAGATCGGATGAACGTTCGTGTACAGATTACAGAATCGTAATCGTATTCTATTTCTGTGGGAAAACAACTCTTTGGAGTAGCTACGGGCACGCCGTCATAAAATGAATAAATAAACAGCAATCGTAAACACAAGCCCAGTGAATGGTCTCAAATAATCATAAATCGAGCACCAATAATACAAATAAATTACAGGGTCGGAAGTTATAAAAGTTTTCCGACGATCTTTGAGATTTGACGATTCATTGATTTTGTTTTATTTGCGATTGCTTTGTAGATTTCCTTTGTTTCGAATATGCCAGCTCTCTTCCTGTATTGATTACCAAACAACGAAAATTACGTATTTATGCAAACGAAAATCGTTGATTTCGAATTTTAACCTTGCTGGTTCAAAATTAAAGCGCGTATCCGGATCCTTAGTTCTTTCCGTTCAATAACAAACCACATATGTAGTAAAAAAGCTATAACCAATTCAATGAATAATTGACACCACGCGCCTACACGTGACATCACTTTTAATGTCTAACTTAATAGTGTTATTAATGATTCAACGACTGGTAATTGATCGGGACTGGGTTGAACGAATCCTCACTAAAAAGTATTATTATATTGGTCGAACTTTGAATCAGTTTGTTTTTGTTGAAACAATTTAGTCATTTTTAAGTCAAATTTCAAAAATTATATTAGTGTATTAAGTACAACTTGTGACAGACTTGTCGTCTTTCACAAAAACACTAGATAGCAATAGAGCAGTTATGTTGTAAAACAAACAAGTATAAATAAAATTAATGTGAATATCATTTTCAGTTTGACACTTGCATAGAATGAGCCTCTCTCTAGCGGTACGTTTAAAAAGCTGAATTACAAAACGAATGTCAGATTTATTATACCGTCAACATTTTATAGCGGTTTGTAACCATTGTTAAGTGATAAACTTTAGTCACGAAAGTCAAGCAGACATAGCCGCTGTCAGTGGGATATTAAATAATCAGGTGGTGCCCTACTGAGGCAGGTAAGCAAAACATTAAACCCACAAACCAAAAATTTGGCTCAACTTCTACTATTTTTTAATTGAAGCTTCAGAAACGATGTTACAAAAAATATTTTTATTATTATTATTATATTACTATTTTTGAGTTTCAGGCATGTACAGAGAGTTTATAGAAAAAACAGTTTTTCAATCAATTTTTTAAATTAATTAAACTAACCTCTTTAACTTTGCAGATCGCTGCCTAAAATGATACAAATTCTTTTGGCTTGCTAGGTCAGATATGATTAGCGCCTTAGAAAATCTATTTCATCTTTGTTTATATAGAATGAAAAAAAAACATTAGTTCTATAAACGAGAACGATTGAAAGACTTATATTTTGCATTTTTACCATCATCCCAGCAAGCAAATTCTATTAACGCACGGGGTCCCAGTAACAGATATATTCTTATAGTGTCGGAAGAATCCTTTTTCAGTATCACATCAGGCCGCTCGATATTAAAAGTAAAAATATAATTGCATTATGGCATATTCAAACAAAGGAAACCCAGACTGCGAAAACAGCAAATACCACTCACCGGTGATGACCAATCGACCTTTGGTAGCGCTCAGTCTAGTCTCTCCTGTCAGTCTGTGTTTCGTACGGCACTGATACGATTTGTAGCCGTCTTCCGGTCCGACGTCCCTGATGTGTAATTCACCAGAGGGCAACACCAGGTATTTACTATCTAATCATTTTTTTAAAAATCTATTAGAATTAATTCGAATGTCTAAAAGGACGCTATATCAGCTTGTTCGGCAGTTTATCTTAAATACTCAAACAAAAATGGGCCACGGACCCAACAACAAAAACTAAACTGTCTTAAAGTTTTAGGTTCCAATATGATCGATAATAAAGCCTGGCTGACATAGCGTCATTCGTCGGTTTGTTTGAAAATATTCACGACGCTTCCTTGTTGTGGCTGTAAAATGCATTTCAATTAGACCCATCGGCTGAGGATAGGCAATAAAAGGTGTGAAACGCTCATAAACATGTCAACGTAAACTAATCATTAAGGCGGCCGACCCTTTTAAGCACTTGAATGAAAAGTAAACTGTTTTAAATCGAGAGTACAAGGAAGCCATGAATATCTTCTCACTGAAAGTAGAAGCATAACGACCCGTCCAGAAAGGGAGAAAAATAGCAGTTTCATGAAACACTCTAAAAAACTACCATAAATTATAACCAATAACATTTAATAAACATTTTGTTGCTCGTAGGATATTAATTATAGAATACTTAATTAGGTAGCTAATTAGTTTAGATAATTTATTTATTATATAGTAGCAGGTTTTTCGTGATAGGTTGTTATACTTAATTTATACTTATGCTAGTTAACATACCAGAAGAAACAAAATAGTTTTCTCCTAATAGATTAACGTGATGGAAATATAGGATTAGGTACTAACAAAAGGAGATACGGAAGATTAGGAGGAGTTCCAGATGTCCAAAACCTTTTTTAAATTCTTACTCGGTTTCTGATTTAGTTATTGACTATTTATTTTTACAAAAAGGCAACACGGCAAACTTATAAGCAAAGAAATAAGCGTCAACGCGGTATCCAGTGGAACTGAATTGAAATGGAAAACGTCATTAAGATCGACCGTCGCAAAATTAAACCGTCAAGAAACATATGTCGCTGTAAGTGATTTATTTAAAGCTCGACGCGTTCAATATGATAAACGGATGTCGTACATTAATGTGTTAAAAGAAACGCTCTTTGTATGACCCACATCCGTTTGCAAAATTTAAGTATTGTCGCTTATAATTAAAACTATTACGATGTAGAGGGCGAAGTAACTTGAGCGCTTATTGATAGTTCTATGTCTATGATAATAATTTACAGGGTGTTTCTTAATGAGATGATCCATAAAGGTGTGATTTCTTGGTTGATTTGAAGAAAAATGGTTTATATCAACATAGGGTGTTGAAAATGTGCTAACAAGCGAATTCTTCTCATATTCATTGAAACTGCTTTAGATATTTTGTTGATTTTTTAGTAGATGTCCACGATGCTCAGGAACCTTATTTTTGTTTTTCTACTTTCGCCAATTCTGTCGGCATAAGCCATAACATTGAAAATTTTTACCGAACCAAATGGTGCGCCAATATTTTTTTTTTTTAAATAAATTCCATTTTAAAATTCATTTCTTAATAAAAATCAACTCGTGACTTTTTGTCATCTGACTAAAAATTTCCAATGAAAAAAAAGACCAGGAAGGCTATTCTACCAACCATGTTGCAACCCAAAAAACATCAAATATCAAAAACTTGAAAACAACCGCCTTTTTTTAGAAAAAATGGATTTTTAAACTGATCTACGCAGTTATCCAAAATACCCAAAAAATATATCAAAGTATAACCAACAATTAAAAGAAAATTTTGGCAACCCTTTTTCGGAAGACACAATGTCAAGCGCTCATTTTACTCTCGATTCTAAAAATCCAAGATACAGTGTCATACTTACCCCAACGCCACTGCTGAAAGTAAAAAAATAATTTTCACCCGGGAAAAATGTATTGGTAGGATCCCAACCAAAATTCAACAAAATATCTTAAAACAGTTCCAATATGAAAATAAAAAACCGTTTTTTTTTTAAATTTTGACATTGATATATCAAAAATTGCGAACCTACAATAACATATACTTTTCTTCTTAAAATCGGCCAAACACCATGTATAATGGCCAGTAAGTAATTAATAAATGAAGTTTAATACGCATGCAAACAGACCAGAAACTGCGATTTGAAAGAAATTTAATATTACCAAAATTTTGTTTTCTAATATCCTTTATTTGCAATAAACAGATATTTTCGAATAAACCCTCACGACTATTATAATGTCATTGGGGGAGTGATGGGTAACCTAATCTACCAATTGGTTGTAGAAGATACTATGGCACGAAGATTTGCTTGAGTGAAAAATCAGTAAAGTTCAGTAAACAATTTGCAGATCCATACTTTCCTAAATAAAAATAGCTATTTGCTTTACTCTTGCTTCTAAGGATTTCAATGAGGTTTTCGCTGGCCTTAATAATAATATAAAAAGTATCTTCTCCAAAATGGGGTTTTCTATATGAACCTACTTAGGGCGGGCATATCACAGAAGAAAGAAATATAAAAACAAAGCAAATAATTGTTATCTAAAATGAATTTTTGTAAATCTTGAAGCAAAAATTGAAAAATGTCAATCAAAGCAAGTGAGTGTCCACTGCCTGGATATTTTGAAACACATATCGCTAGCTGAAGAAATAATCTTCTCATGGCTAACTCTACTCTATAGAAACGTAGATAAGTGAATCAAAGATAAATCTAGAAAATCAATAATTATATTAAATCTTCGCTCAAGGCCCCAACGAAGATTGAAATGTAAAGGGAGAATAGATTTTATTTGAAAAGAACGCTTTTTTCCAACCTTTATTTATTGTACCGTTAAAATTAAAAACATTTGTCGTTCTCTGAAGAATAACTATTGAACCAAAAGCGGTACCGAGACTAGCAAAGATTTTTAATTAATAAAATTTGTTACTGTCAAAGGAAAAACTAATAAAAAAATCACTTTCTAAGAAGAAGAAATATAGAGCAAATTATCGAGTAATTTAAAAAGAAACACTCATGAATTCACGTCTAGACACATTACTCGTGGTTAAAATGACGTTCTGGTATTCATAACGCGCTTCGTTGAAGTTTTGCTAAATCGAACTTCGACCCGAAAAAATGTGCTCCTAATCTAACGACCGCAAGATTAAAACACATGAAAAAAACTTGCAATGGCAATTCTTGCTGGATAAAACGTAAAAACAAAGAAATTTCACGCACCATATGGTCCATCACCGGAAAGGATCTCGTGTCCATTGTCCTGTAACCAGGAAGTGACGTGGACGTAATCAGAAACAAAACTCGGAATATGACACTTGAAAATCGCGGTGTTGCCTTTGAGGACACTCTCATCCATTACGTTCGCGTTGTAAGATTGGGAAACCACTGGAAAGATACGAGACAAGGGAAGCGTGAACATTAATTATAAATACGAATGTTTATTTAGAGGCATAGAAAAAACTTACTCTTACTTGCTATGCTCGATTTTATCAGCTACTAGTTTTCGCGATTTAAATCAAAATTTAATCTTTTAGTTGGCCATTGTTTTTGATTCCTCATCCAGAAATAAATATGTACACTAATCCATATGATTAACAGCTTTAATTCGTCTTACTTTAAATTTTAATAATTAACTTTGCATCAAAATTAACTCACAAATCTGGGTCAACTTCAAAATTAATTTTCTCGCGAACTACTGACTCGATTTTATTTCAATTTAAGTTTAAGGTATGTAAAGTGTTTTAAGGAAAACCAGTTTTATAACTCGCACAAGTGCAAGTTAAACAAGTTAAGGAATAGGAAAGGAAACCGATTTTGACTTTTTATTTGTTTTTATAATAAACTATAATTGTTACTTTTGACATTAAATTCCGTATTTCATTTAATAAATAAGTTGAAGACGAGAACAAAAAAAAACAAAATGCTCAGAAAAGATGGGGATATGCATTGACATCTAATGGTGGAAACATTGAATGCAAAATTATTTTTTTTATTAAAAATTTAAATAATTATATTTCTAACAGAAGATATTTTAACTTTGAAATTTATCCAAATGTTAATGGTGCATTAAGTATGATAATTGATACGTGATATATTTTTTATTTGAAAAATCATAATAAATATGACACACAGGACACAGGTGAGCAAAATCTTTTTCTTCCCTGGTTGGCACACTTAGCACCGAACGAACAACAAAAATCTATACTTTGCTCACTTGTACTAAAAGTTGCTATTTCCTTTTCTCTAAGGATTTGAATGAGCTTGTTGCTGAAATTATTGTTTATTCATGCGACTAACCTTGAACCGATTGTAATTATTGCAGGATTCTCAATTAACAACTTTCGTGCTCTTCAAGGTTTTCGCTGGCCTTAGTAACAATATGAAAAGTGTCTTCTCCAAAGTAGAGTTTTCTATATAAAAATAATTAGGGTGGGCATCTCACAGACAAAATACAAAAACAAAGCAAATTTTTTTTTATCTAAAATCAGATTTTGCAAAACTTGGAGCAAAAATTCAAAAATGTTAAATGCAAGTGAGTATTCAATATTAAGGTAAGGTAATATTCAGGTGGAATATTTGGAAAATATATGGCTAGCTGGATGTTTTTTCGTTGATTTTTTTTTGCGTTCCGATTGCAATCGTATTCGAATTTCCAAATTTTTGGGATTGAAGATGCTCTAAATTAACAATATTTTTTTGCAATATAATGCAAACCAAAAATATTTATCAAATTAAAACATTTAGATCATAAAGTTTGGTGGCAAAAAAATAAAAATGACCAATAAGAAATTTCTCGATTTTTGGATAATTTAGTCTATCCCTCACTGCACGGCTTGTAAATTTTGTGACATTTTTTCCTGAGTTGTACTGTAGGCGAAATTTGCAAAAACATGGATAAAAGATTTTTAGAATATATTAGTTTACTGCAGTGTTATTGCCAATATTACTTTCATTATAGATGGCAAACAAGGTTCATTAAACAAAAAATTTAAAGCCTAAGCCTTAAAATAAAGTATTAATTTTCCGTGACTAGGTCATTAGAAACACTAAAATTCTATGCTTTGTTTATATTGAAATTAACTGATATGAAA